AATGGAAGCAACAAGTGCCCACAATTACACCTACTCATCTGGTCACACCGGTGCTCCTATTTTTTCCCTTCTCTCCTACAGTTGTGACTGAAGGAACTGCAATCCTCTCAAGAGCCATAACAGAATTCCAGAACACTCCGGATACGGAGGGAGACTAGATTTCACAGGGGGCTTTGAGAAAGCAGACATCAATACCCTGGCGACAAAGCCATGACAGTCAACAGAGCTTTCCAGGCTGCTATGTTTCCCTGGCTGCTAAGTTCCCTTTTCCAACTAGTTTCCAAGCCTGGCTGAAGACAACTCCCACCTGGCCAAGTAACTATCAGGACACCTGCCAAAAGGCCAAAGGAGTAAAGACACAGAGGTCTTTACTTACACACATCTCCTTACAAAATGTCTGCCAAGTAATTAGAAACTTTCAGCAGAAAGACGAAGTGTAATGAGAACCAGAAATACTGACAACACTCAGGCACATTCCATCAGGAATCAGTGAATCAGGCACATTTCATCAGCTGAAGCATCACTCTCTTGTTTCAATTTAAAGGTATTTTTAATGGGAGGTGGCTTACCAACCAACACTGTGAATGATGGACAACAGAATAGATTCTTAAACATCCTCTGTGGCAGCTACAGACATGTATGTTCACAGCTCGAGTCTGACAACTCACCTTTCTTCTGCCTGAACTGTAAGTAAAGGAAGGGCGGAATCTGTGGACCCACTACTCTTGTCAACTCATGAGTGATACCTGAGCCTTTAAAAAGCCCATTTAACAAATAACTATGAGAGTCTCCGGGATGCAGGACCGTGTGGTTGTGTAAAGCTGTGTGAAAACTTGTTTTGGCCACAGAATGCGGTAAATGGGTGTACGAAATGTGTATGGTCCCTTATATTCACTTAGACTATGCAGCGGGACTGCAGAGAGGCGCAGGGTGGACGGGCGGCCCGGGCGCGGTGTCCTCGTGGCCGCGCGCCGGCTCACTCACCTCGCCCGCGGTGTTGGCCAAAGCAATGAGATCCCGCTTGGGTGACCAGACCAGGAAGATGATCTCCTGCGGCAGCTGCTTCTCCCCCACCACCCGGAAGGATGGGAAACAGGTCGGGAAACGCAACATGGGGACAGCCCTGCAACGACTTCCCTAGTCGCAGGCTGGCTGGGGCCCCCCGCGGCCGCTCTGCCAGGGCCCGGCGCCGCTCCCGTCCCGGGCCCTTCCGGCAGAGCCCCAACGGCGGCGGTACCAGCGACCGCAGCCAACGCGGCCCGGACGGCCTCGGCCTCCGCCTCCCGCTCTCGCTGCCCGCGCCGGCGGCGCCGCCGCCGCGCGCTTTCCGGGCACTTCCGGTACCCGAACTTCCTCGCGAGAGCACGGAGGCGAGGTTTCGATCAGCCAGAGTCACTTTGACAGTCTCCAAACCGGTGGTCCTCAGTCCCGCGTGCTCAGTAGAGAGGCTTTTTATTTGTTTCTTTTGCGTTAAACACCGTGCCCAGGCAGCACGCCAGACTGATTAAAAGCGCTTCCCTGGTGGCTCAGGCGGTGAAGAATCCGCCCGCAATGAGGGAGACCTGGGTTCGATCCCTTCGTTGGGAAGATCCCCTGGAGGAAGGCATAGCGACCTACTCCAGTATTCTTGCTGGGAAATCCCATGGACAGAGGAGCCCGACGGTTTACCCAGAGTCGGAAACAACTGAGCGAATAAGCACAGCACAACGCAGTACGGAATGGGACCCAGGGTTTATGGAACACTCAGAGTGCTGCCGGTTTGCAGCCTACGTAAGAGAGCTCTGCTTTAAAATCTCCGACATAGGCAAATACCTTGATTCTTTGTCCCATTTAAGCTTCATAACTACTGATACCAGTAGCCGCATTGTAATAAATGAGGACTGTGGGCTCAGTCCGGATTTGTCTCATAGCTATTGGAACTTCTACTATACGAAGGAATCTGGACTCCACAAGTGCAGGGAACATGGGCTCAGCCTGGCCGGATGTGTGAATCAGAATCCATCTGGTGCCTCTTGTTACACATCTAAATGTGTTAACTTGTTCAAAAGTTCCCATAAGTTATGGACCTGGTTAAAAGAATGTGACTATCATCCTGTGATTCTCCATCTTAAAGTCTATGGTAGAAAGCCATCTACCTTTCACTTCTTTTGACTTGCTCAAAGAAGAAATGTGGGAAGATCTTCAACTCTAAATAAGCCCTATCTTCCTGCCATCTATTTGGATCTAGCCCCTGGGAAAAGGTGACAGAAGTAGACTAATTCATTCAGCAACAAATATTTCAGGCACTATTTTGTGCCAGGCAGTTTCTAACTCATGATGTTTACCCTGCTCCCTTTCAGAGATGAGTCTTTTACCTTGCTTTTTCTGCAAACTATTAAGAATGGTTCCCAAATTTGTCCAGAGGCACTATTCCAAGGTGAGAATGGACTTGCCTTTGTTATTAATGAAATGCATTTTTGGGTATTATTTAATGTTCTGGAGTGTTGTATGGTTGTTAGCACAACCAATGCCACCTTGAGCATGTACAGTTCCTCCTGTCCTTCCACTGCCCTACCCAGGACTGTACTGTGTGGTAAATCACTTCTCTGTCATCAAGAGCTTTGCAGTTAATACTGTTCAATAATTATTAGGACCAGGTGGCCTTTATGCTCTGTTAGTCCCCAAACAATGATGAAGACCTTCCCTGACGTATTCCTGGCACCCACAAGACTAGTTGTGCTAAAGTCGCTTCAGTCACATCTGACTCTGCAACCTATGGACTGTGGCCTGCCAGGCTCCTCTGTCCATGGGATTCTCCAGGCAAGAATACTGTGAGCGGACTTTCACACCCACCTCCAGGGGATCTTCCCAACCCAGGGATCAAACCCAGGTATCCCACATTGCAGGCAAATTCTTTACAGTTCTGAGCCACTAGGGAAGCCCAAGACTAAGTCAGTTCAGTTCAGTCGCTCAGTCGTGTCCGACTCTTTGCGAACCCATGAATCGCAGCATGCCAGGCCTCCCTGATCATCACCAACTCCCGGAGTTTACTCAAATCCATGTCCATGGAGTCCGTGATGCCATCCAGCCATCTCATCCTCTGTCGTCCCCTTCTCCTCCTGCCCCCAATCCCTCCCAGCATCAGGGTCTTTTCCAATGAGTCAACTCTTCACATGAGGTGGCCAAAGTACTGGAGTTTCAGCTTCAGCATCAGTCCTTCCAATGAACACCCAGGACTGATCTCCTTCAGGATGGACTGATTGGATCTCCTTGCAGTCCAAGGGACTCTCAAGAGTCTTCTCTAACACCACAGTTCAAAAGCATCAATTCTTTGGCGCTCAGCTTTCTTGACAGTCCAACTCTCACATCCATACCTATCCACTGGAAAAACCATAGCCTTGACTAGACTAATTACCCATTCATAAATCTTGACTTCAGAATGCACTTCCTGTTTCTCTATGTGAACTAATATAAAACTGTTGCAGTGGTCCTTTGGCAGTGCTGAGTGCAGTTGCAAATGCTTCCAGATCATTGTCCGCCTGACCCCAACCTGTGAGTTACCTGGCAATAAACTGATCCATTGATAATATGGAGCTGGCTGCCTGGTTTTTGGGTCTCAAGATAACCTTCTCCATCCTCCAACACATGGCAATAGATAATCTAGATGATGGGGTGCATTTAGATAAATCCACTATCTACCTGCTTTACAATCTTATGAAAACTGAATGCCCACTTTCCTGAAACTTATCCTGAATATGGTCCCTCATACCACACAGGAAAAGGACTGTGAATAAAGCTATACCCTCAGTGTTACAAGACAGAGGAGAGTAACTACCTACGGATTATGAAACCTTCACAGAAGAGTATGAATTTCCCCCAAGATATGTATAACAACATAGGAAATATCATAGGTGTGAAGTTTCAGATGTGGCCATCTGGAAATAAGAAAAAGTTTGGTTATAAGTACATTCATCAAGTTGTTTGCAGTAGTGAAAAATGGAAACTTAGCTGCCCAACCACAGGAGACTGATTAAATACAATATATCCATACTTCGACTGTGTGGATCACAATAAACTGTGGAAAATTCTGAAAGAGATGGGAATATCAGACCACCTGACCTGCCTCTTGAGAAACCTACATGCAGGTCAGGAAGCAACAGTTAGAACTGGACATGGAACAACAGACTGGTTCCAAATAGGAAAAGGAGTATGTCAAGGCTGTATATTGTCACCCTGTTTATTTAACTTATATGCAGAGTACATCATGAGAAATGCTGGGCTGGAAGAAGCACAACCTGGAATCAAGATTGCTGGGAGAAATATCAATAACCTCAGATATGCAGATGATATCATAACCACCCTTATGGCAGAAAGTGAAGAGGAACTGAAAAGCCTCTTGATGAAAGTGAAAGAGATGAGTGAAAAAGTTGGCTTAAAGCTTAACATTCAGAAAACTAAGATCATGGCATCTGGTCCCGTCACCTCATGGGAAATAGATGGGGAGACAGTGGAAACAGTGTCAGACTTTATTTTTGGGGGCTCCAAAATCACTGTGGATGATGACTGCAGCCATGAAATTAAAAGACGCTTTACTCCTTGGAAGGAAAGTTATGACCAACCTAGATAGCATATTAAAAAGCAGAGACAGGGAAGGAGCCAAGATGGCGGAGGAATAGGACGGGGAGACCACTTTCCTACAAATTCATCGAAAGAACATTTGAATGCTGAGCAAATTTCACAAAACAACTTCTGATCGCTAGCAGAGGACATCAGGCGCCCAGAAAAGCAGCCCATTGCCTTCGAAGGGAGGAGAGAAAAAGGAGAAAAAACAGCAACCAGTAGCAGGAAGTGCTGACTCTAAGCCTGTTGATGTTTCCCGTCTGGATCTTCGAATTGGTTGTATCATGACTGCCAGAAAACACCCTGATGCAGATTCTTTGTATGTAGAAGAAGTAGATGTTGGAGAAACAGCCCCAAGAACAGTGGTCAGTGGCCTGGTTAATCATGTTCCTCTTGAACAGATGCAAAATCGGATGGTGGTTTTACTTTGTAACCTGAAACCTGCAAAAATGAGGGGAGTAGTATCTCAGGCAATGGTGATGTGTGCAAGTTCACCAGAGAAAGTAGAAATCTTGGCACCTCCTAATGGATCTGTTCCTGGGGACAGAATTACTTTTGATGCTTTCCCTGGAGAGCCTGACAAGGAGCTGAATCCTAAGAAGAAGATTTGGGAGCAGATCCAGCCTGATCTTTACACTAATGATGTATGCGTGGCTACATACAAAGGCGCTCCCTTTGAGGTGAAAGGGAAGGGAGTGTGTAGGGCTCAAACTATGGCCAACAGTGGAATAAAATAAAACACTTCAGTTTCTGAAATACTTTAGAGAAAGCAATAAAAAGAAATACATTTGTCACTCATACCTAAAATAAAAAAAAAAAAAAGCAGAGACATTACTTTGCCAGCAAAGGTCCATCTGGTCAAGGCTATGGTTTTTCCAGTGGTCATGTATGGATGTGAGAGTTGGACTGTCAAGAAAGCTGAGCGCCAAAGAATTGATGCTTTTGAACTGTGGTGTTAGAGAAGACTCTTGAGAGTCCCTTGGACTGCAAGGAGATCCAATCAGTCCATCCTGAAGGAGATCAGTCCTGGGTGTTCATTGGAAGGACTGATGCTGAAGCTGAAACTCCAGTACTTTGGCCACCTCATGTGAAGAGTTGACTCATTGGAAAAGACCCTGATGCTGGGAGGGATTGGGGGCAGGAGGAGAAGGGGACGACAGGATGAGATGGCTGGATGGCATCACGGACTCCATGGACATGGGTTTGATCATCACCGGGAGTTGGTGATGATCAGGGAGGCCTGGCGTGCTGCAATTCATGGGGTCGCAAAAAGTCGGACACGACTAAGTGACTGAACTGACTAACTGATCCATACTGAAGAATAATACTGTCATTACGGGTATAAACTGATGTTCACAACATCTTTATGAGAAGATTACAAAACAATTTATTTTTACAATTCCATTTTTAAAAAATTTTAAGTGTCTGTAGCTATTTATACAGGAATCTTGTTTCTGGAAGAAAATACACATAAGCTGTGACAGTGGTTCTCTCGGGGTAGTAGAATCAGAGTTACTTTTCATTTTCTTTGACTCAGGTGGCTCATATATTAAGTGTAAAGTTAACAGGCAGCAACTTTTATTTCCTTTTGTCTTCTTTAAGCATGCAGAATGTTTAGGCTATCTCTAGTTTTCTCCCACTCCTCACCTCCACATTTGCAAGTGACGAAACTGGCCCATCTAATTAGGGTTAGTTTCTTAAAGACGACCGGATGTCACAGTTACAGTCTGCAGGGGTACTAAGCCATGCAATAGTGTGAGAATCTTGTGACTGTCCAGCTAATGGGATCAAATGTACCCCTTGGATCTCTGCGATCTGCTTGCTCAGTTTTGATGCTTTCCCTTCCCCACCCCCCTGCCCAATCTTGCCAAGTTAACATTTATACTAAGTCTCTTGAAATTAAATTGTAGAGATCTTATCGTCACTTTATTGCAATGACCTTCTAGCTGACCCTCAAGTAATTTAACCCATGTCCTAATTTCCAATTAAAACTACATCAAGTAAGTCAAATTAGATGTTTCCTTTGCATTTTTTTAAAGCTTTTCTTTCTTGGCAGCTCTAAGTGTATTAACGTTTTTCTATTAGACAGCACAGTTGGGTTTGGAGGTTCATAAATGACCATTTCCATTCACCTGACCCAACCCTGATTTATGAGGAGCCTCTAATGGGTGAGTGCACAACAGTGTTAGCGTGGGTGCTCACTTGCAGTTAGCGGTGTTAGCTTCGCAGGCTCGTGGAAGGAGGAAGGAGGCCATGGGTCCTGCAGCTGGTTGTCTCTGATATCACCGTGTGTCAGACACAGCTCTGGGAGCCAGTGAAGGCGCACCGTGAATTCCACAGGCCCTGGGCACCAACGAGCTTCTAAGCCACAGAGGGGAACCATGCACAGAGAGTCGTTCTAATGCAGGGCATGATCTAAGTACCTGAAAACAAGTTGAAGACACACAAACACACACCTATTTTTATTTCACTGGCAAAAGATGTACTGTTCCACTGGAGACACCAGCGAGGACATCATGAAGAAGGTGGCGTCAGACCACAACCTTTTGTAGGCTGTGATTTTATATTTAAAAGTCAAAGGCACACCATGTTTTATTGTACTTCACAGATACTGTGTCTCTTTACGATTGAAGATTTGTGGCATCCCTTTGTTATGAGATGATGGTTAGCATTTTTTAGTAGTAAGTGTTGTGTATTAGTTGCTAAGTCGTGTCCAACTCTTTGTGACCCCGTAGACTGTAGCCTGCCAGGCTCCTCCAGCCTTGGGATTCTCTAGGCAAGAATACTGGAGTGGGTTGTCATTCCCTTTCTCCAGGGGATCTTCCTGACCCAGGGATCAGACCCAGATCTCCTGCACTGCAGGCAAATTCTTTACCATTTGAACCACTAGGTTTTTTTTTTTTTTCAGTCCTTCTAAGAAAAAAAGCAAGTTGTCTCCATATCTTAGGCAAGCCTAATGTCAGGGACTGAACTGTGTCTCTCCAAATCTATATGCTGAAGTCCTAACTCCCAGTACCTCAGACAGGGGCTGGATTTAGAGACACCATCTTTAAAAAGGAGATAAAGGTAAAATGAGGCCTTTAAGGTGGGCACTAATCCTATCTGACCATCCTTACAGGAGGAAATGTGGACACAAAGAGACACCGAAAAAAGACCACGTGAGGATACAGTGAGAAAGCAACCATCTGCAAGCTAAGGAGAGAGGCCTCAGGAGAACCAAGCCTGTCAACACCTTTATCTTGAACTTCCAGGCTCTAGAACTGTGAGAAAGTTAATTACTGTTGTTTAAGCTATCCAATACATTTGTTATAGTAGCCCTAGCAAATAAATATACCCACCACCTGAAAATCTCTAGAAAATTCTATACTTTCAAGTTTCTATTGAGCACCTACAATACATAGGAGACATGAGACTATAAGAAGTGGGTACTGACATTAAGAAACTGAAACCTTTCGGGGAAACAGAATCTGTCAATATAATCATGGAATAATACATAAAAAGTGACTCAAGTGTGGTGCAGAATAGCAAGCTTGGAGAGGAAAGCCTCAGCTGGTATCAGTCTCAAATGTGAAACTTACCAGGAAACAGTGGGATTGGGGCCAGGGCCTAAAGGCTCCGTTAAGACTTTAAAAAATGGCTGTATGGAGGGAAATATTCCAAGCAGAAAAAAGAGAATGGGATGAAAAGACTGAGGCATACCAGAGAAATAAATTAGTCTAAATATCACATTAAATGTAGGGGAAAAAAATCTAATCTCATTCAGGGCCTACAAAGTGACAAAATGTGACAAAGTACAAAAATATGACAAAGTAACATCGTATTTCATTACATCATGTAATATAAACAAGAAATAGAATGAAATTTAGTGGCAATTATTTAAGAAAAATATCCTCTTCACGAACTTCCCTAGTGGCCCAGTGGTTAAGACTCCACATTTTCACTGCAGGGAGCACAGGTTCAGTCCCTGTTGGGAGAACTAAGATTCCACATGCCACAAGGAATGGCAAAAAAAATTTTCCTTTTAAAAAGCTTAAAAAGGTTTGTCAAATTTCAGGGATTTTCTTTTGCTGCAGTTTTAAGTAAGTATCTTAATGTTCAGATATGCAGATTCCTAATTAGAACAAATGACCTCATCTCCCATCACACTTTATACCTCCCAGAGACATTTTCACATTCTATTCGTTTATTCTCTGAGGAAAGAAAGAAATTAAGTCCTTAAAATTACCATAACTGAATACAAGAACAGAACCTATTTTTAAGTCTGAGAAGGTAACGAAGTTTTCAAGTACAAAATTCCTGATTATAAGTAACACCCTATTTGCTCAATACTAAGATGGGCTTTTTTTCACATTTCAGTATTTCTGAAATAAGACACATCTAAAGTTTAACCTATACAATTAATAAGATAAGGGCGTTTTCCCCCTGAAAAGATATGATTCCATCAATAGCACACTTTACCAATGGATGGTATCTTAAAACTAAGAAAACGTGGTGATGATAACCATTGGCCATCAGGACCCAATTCTTCAGCAGTCATGGCCCCTCAGGTGTCTGAGTTTCTGGGCAGATTTCAGTAGATTTTAACCATAGTAGCATGGACCCCATGAAAGTCAGGCAATGTCCACACCTATACCTGAATCAGAGAGACTCTCACAATGACCCTACAAGGTTCACCTCTCATCCAGTCACCTCAAAATCTGCCCCTCCTAGCGCCACAGCAGCCCATAAAAATGGGACAAGAGAAGAATTTTCTGATGCTTGTTAAATCCAGGAGCTTGGCTCATCTTTTGATGTCACCTGATCTATCAGGACCACACTGACAGGGCCATGTGTGAGGATTCCACAGCAGGTACCAAACTTAAATACCAGGTAGAATTTAAGTAAGAGATGGAGTACAGTTCTTCTACTTTTACTTAGAGGGCTCCAGCTACACCCAAGCAGATATGCCTCCAAACATGCTTTAAAATAGTCATGTGGGAAAGAGAGGAGAGTCATTATGCAAACACAAGCCATTCAAAACTGCCAAGTCTTAAGAAGATAATGTCAGATACCTAGCAGAGAAATGGGGAGAGGCATTCTTTGTTCAAACTCCTCCCTTTAGCATTGCAACCCTGGACCACAGATAATTACCATCTTCACCTATTAACACTTCTCCAGGCGAACAAGCGAACCGAGAGCCTGGTGCATGAGCCTTATTTAATTTAGCCACAAACAATCCTGAGATGTGTTGTCCCTATTATATTAATGAAGAAACAGTGGCTTCTAGAGAGTGAATGACTTGACCAAAGACATACAATCAGTGTTAGAATAGGAAAGAGGAGTTTGAATCACCAAAATAGACTGCCTCTGCTACAACTTTTATAAAGAAACATCCTGCCTAAGTTAACAGACAGTAAGATGACTGAGCAAGTCATAATTCAACAAACATTTAGGTGATTCTATATCATCAAAGGATAACTGCAAAGAGTAGTTGAAAAATAAATATTTAATATGAATATAACCATAATTGTTTTAGACTGCCTTTGTCAAAATTCTTTCCATCTTCAGATTCTGTCTTAAAAAAAAACAACTGTACATTGTATTTCTCTTTACAAGTGGGATTTAAGCCATTGTACAATATTTTAATATTTAATTTAACATATATAACAAGATACTCTTATGTTCAATGTAAACAAAACCTCGGGTTTTCATTCTTATTTTCTCCTTTGTTTCTGCAAAAGAATGCTCTGTGCCCATTTTTCAGATAAAAGAGGCTAAAATAATATTACTGAAAGAGATGTAAAGTGAGAAAAAAGGCACCAAAAGCTAGCAAGCCGGCAAAGATCTCCAGAGGGGCTGCAGTGTGTGTGTGTGGGGGGGGGGGGGGGCTGCGTGTAAAGGGGGGGTGTCTATAAACCAGCAAAATACCACCTCCCTATTTTCAAGCTTAGAAAGGTGCGTACCTTTGAAAGCAACAGAATTTAAGTCCAACATGGCACTTTCAGAAAATGGCATCAAAGGTCTGACTATAAATCTTTCCTATTCTCAAGTCACTGGACATTTTAGAGCAAGGATATTGATGGGTTCTTTCTCTTCTTTTCTTCTTCCTTGTAACAGATGTATGATTCATGGATTGTCCTTTAGTGGTCTCCATTTTCATCTTATTGCTTTTTCTTTGCTTCTGCTTTCTGACAGCCCTGAAAAACAAGGTGCTAAATTATTTTGGAAAATGAGCACAGTGAATTATGTAATTATGCTGAAGTTTAATTAACTAGCTAACCAAATAAGAAAACAGAAGGGAAAGAATTTACTGTATTATAAGCATAAATCCTCAGAATCCTAACCACAGTAACAAGGAGATAGAGTCCTGACCAAGCAAAATGTTTTAGAGAAGAAATTTCTTTGAAAGATGGTTACTACAGATTTAGAACAATCTATTCAGGACAAATACACCACAGAGGTAAATAGTCAAGCCAATGAGTTGGGAGGTTGTTTTTTTTTTTTTTTTTTCCTTCTACATTTGTACTGCTCAACTTAGCACTTCGATCTCCAAAACCCTGAATTACATTTTTCAGAAAAAGACCGATATATTGACAGTTAGCAATGGTAGAAAAATGCTGCAACTCTGAAAAGGCTTACAGAAGCTCATCTTATAGTCTTAATTTTCCTTTCCTCAGTATCCTAAAATCCTGACAAATGCCATACAGGATGTCCACATTTAGTGGTCTCTTGAAGACTAGCTTCAAAATGAATAAGCTGAAAGTCAATCTCTAAAAAGCATTAAATCACACGGGAAAACAAAAACAGATCCTTTGCTTCAAGTGCTCTCTGAACTAAGTTACAGGCAATCTATAGCTGAGAAAGATTACTGGCCTGTTCATTCACTTTCTCCAAGCTGGCAGAATCATGCCATTTATTACATCATGAACAAAGGGATGAGCTGGGGCTGCCAGCACTGGCAGACCTGGAACTTTCAAGGCTGCCCAGCGATATCAACTGTTAGACTCCTCCTTACAAACCCCCACAAGTCCGAGGGAAAAGCTTCTTCTTGATCTTCCCAGGACCAAACTCTGGGAAAGCAGCTTCATACACAGTATGTAATCTCCCAGTGGACAAACTCAGCCTCTCCTTTGGGTCATTCAGTGTACATGTTAAGTGTTGGGAATACAAACATGAATGGGTACAACTGACTTCAAGGAGCAGGGAGACTGAGACAAGGCAGGCGTCATCCTTCCCTTGCCTTCTCCCCACTTTCTTTTTTAGGGAAAGAAACTGAGGCTAAGAAACCATCTCTGAGGAAGTAGCAGAATCAGCTTGATTCAGGAAACTGTGCTCTTTTAATTTTACCTTGATACTACATACACTACTATAAATTATTCAGGTATATAAAATGCTCAGCATATAGTAACTCCTAAAAAAATTAGCTATTATTAGTAGCTCCACATGACTACTATTCAGAAGTTTGCTTGGTAATTTAATATTTTTCCATGTTTAGATTTTGCACTAGGGTATCTTTCAAGTTCAAAATAAAACAAAACAGTCATCTTCGTTCTGTTTTGTGCATGTTATATAAGTCTCCTTTTTCTACAGCCATTTTTTTAAAGTAAGAAAATGTCCTGGTAAGTGATGAATTTAGCACACGTAATGATGTATAATCTCTTGATCGCAAAATAAATGAAGTTATTATGCATGCCTGTATACAAAATTCAAACAAATTTTCTTTGGCTTATCCACTGATAAGAACTAAACATGAACCGGATTTCACTAGAAGATATGGTAAACAAAAACAGAAGGAAAACACTCATTTCTAATATGAATAAACAAAATGCTCTAGAGGTAGAGTCTTTAAACAGTGATAAACTGAGTATAAATCAACTGGCTGTTTTGCCTTAAAATTAAATTGACCTGGTATTGATATTTGTCCTCTAAATTACAAGTATTTATGTGACTGGTACAATGAGCTCTAACCACAAGAGGGAGCCAGCATCATTCTAGTTCATAACCAAAGGGAAATTAATACTAAGGAAAACTAAAGTAACATAAGACAACTATAAAACATAAAAGATGAAAAGACCTTTTATGCCACAGAGGCTTAAAAAAAGCATAAAAATTATTTTTTACTATTATAAAAAGTTCATGCCTTGTCAATTTCATTTTAAAAATTTTTTGAAAGCAATACCTGAAAATAACCATTAACAGTTTAGGTGTCTTCTCTAAGAGAAGAAGGTGATACTATTCAAGAATTATCAGGTAGTGCTCGCTTCAGCAGCACATATACTAAAATTGGAACGATACAGAGAAGATTAGCATGGCCCCTGCGCAAGGATGACAATGCAAATTCGTGAAGCGTTCCATATTTTTAGACTTTTGGACTCTGTGGGAGAAGGCGAGGGTGGGATGTTTCGAGAGAACAGCATCAAAACTGTATATTATCAAGGGTGAAACAGATCACCAGCCCAGGTTGGGTGCATGAGACAAGTGCTCGGGCCTGGTGCACTGGGATGACCCAGAGGGAGCGGGCAGAGAGGGAGGTGGGAGGGGGGACCGGGATGGGGAACACATGTAAATCCACGGCTGATTCATGTCAATGTATGGCAAAAATTACTACAATGTTGTAAAATAATTAGCCTCCAACTGATAAAAATAAATGGGAAAAAAAAGAATTATCAGGTATACCACATTCTAGAAGATTTGGTCTTGAATTAAAATTGATAAAATCTAGTACTGAAGGATACTACATGATTTTCCTCAATGAAAACAATATATTACTAACAAATAAACTAGTCAGAGCTATTTAAGAACCAAGGAAGAGTCTATAGTGTATTACTAAAATGCAAATTCAGTTTCCATGTGTCATAAAATCACAGAATCAAAGGCTGAGCATGATACTAACTCCTGTTTGCAACTAGAATTATACTATAAATAGTAAAACAACCCTAGATCACCCCTATTTTATGAGACTGTATTCTATTCTTAAAGGTTTATAAGGAAAAGTATTTTCTAAGACTCAATATACCTCTTTAGTTAATTTTTATAATACCACTTCTACCCTTGATTACATAGTGGAAATAATTATTGAAAGTAGATTCGATAAAAAGCATGGGCTTCCCTGGCAGCTCCAATGGTAAAGAATCTCCTTGCAATGCAAGAGACTCAGGTTTGACCCCTGAGTTGGGAAGATCCCCTGGAGAAAGAAATGGCTATCCACTCCAGTATTCTTGCCTGGAGAATTCCATGGACAGAGGAGCCTGGCAGGCTACAGTCCATGAGGTCGCACAGAGTCAGACACGACTAAGTGACTGACACTCTCATTTTCATTTCTTAATGGAAAAGGTAGTTTAAATAGTAGGCAGAATTCAAATAGCTGGGCTTTAATGGAAAAAAATTTCTACTGACCAAAAAAATAAAAACAGATGGAAAAGAATACAATCATAAGTAGTTAGTAAAGCATCAGGTATTCAGGTTGGTACGAAAGTAATTGTTTTGGACCATGAATTTAAATCATTATAGCTAGACTCAAACACATCTTTATTAATAAAATAGGAACCATTATAATCAACACATATTTGCCAGTGAGAAATGTTTGTTTATCCCTGTAGCATAAAAATCTGTGCTTCAGGATTTGATGAACTCTTGGAAAGCGTTTTCTGCCGCCTGATGGTTGTGGAAGCATTTTCCCTGCAAAAAGTTGTTGAGATGTGGTAGCTGGTTGGAGAGAGGTTAGGTGAATATGGTGGAAGAGGCAAAACTTTACAGCCCAATTCATTCAACTTCTGAAGCAGCTGTGTGACATGCAGTCAGGCGAGGTTGTGGAGAATTGGGCCCATTCTGTTAACCAACACTGACTGCAGGCGTTGGAATTTTCGGTGCATCTCATCGATTTGCTGAGCATACTTCTCATATAATGGTTTCACCAGGCTTCAGAGAGTTGTAGTGGATGAGACAGGCAGCAGACCACCAAACAGTGACCATGACCTTTCATGGTGTTAGTTTGGCTTTGGGAAGTGCATGGAGTTTGTTCTTGGTCCAACCACTGAGCTGGTCATTGACAGTTGTCATATAAAATCCGCTTTTCATCACGCATTACAATCCAATCAAGAAATGTTGCATAGAATAAGAGAAACTGCTGCTGCTAAGTCGCATCAGTCGTGTCCAACTCTATGCGACCCCATAGACGGCAGCCCACCAGGCTCTCCCGTCCCTGGGATTCTCCAGGCAAGAACACTGGAGTGGGTTGCCACTTCCTTCTCCAATGCATGAAAGTGAAAAGTGAAAGTGAAGTCGCTCAGTCGTGTCCAACTCTTAGCAACCCCATGGATTGCAGCCTATCAGGCTTCTCCATCCATGGGATTTTCCAGGCAAGAGTACTGGAGTGGGTCGCCAGTGCCTTCTCCGAGAATAAGAGAATATGACACTTCAAAACAATGACTTTTTTGACTTTGGTCAGCTCATGAGGCAACCATTTATCGAGCTTTTTCACCTTTCCAATTTGCTTGAAATGCCAAATGACCAGAATGGTCAATGTTGAGTTCTTCAGCAACTTCTCTGTAAGGGGATCAGCTTCAATGATGGCTCTCAGTTGGTTGTTATCAACTTCCTATGACCAGCTGTATTACACTGCTCATCTTCAAGGCTCTTGTCTCCTTTACAAAACTTCTTGAACCACCACTGCACTGTATGTTTGCTAGCAGTTCCTGGGTCAAATGCATTGTTGATGTTGTGAGTCATCTCTGCTGCTTTACAACCCATTTTGACCTCGAATTAAAAAACTGCTCAAATTTGTTTTTTTGTCTAACATCATTTCTATAGTCTAAAATATAAAATAAACAAGTAATAAGTCATTAGCAAAAAATAAAAGCAAGAAATGTGCATTAAAATGATGTGTAAAGTAACATCTATTTAAGAATGTATTCCAGTATCAAATGGCAAAATTCAACAATGCAAAACCGCAATTACTTTTGCACCAACCAAACACTTCTAATACTAAAAGATGTTTTTTTCATCACAAGTTATATGAGTGCTCAAAATCTTTATCCTGGTCTCAATTTTCATGTAATATTAAACTTAGCTATCTGGTTTTCACATCAGCAAAACAAGAGGACTCAATACATATCATCCCTTTAGTGTAAAAAGAAAAAAGTGGAATCATTCAAGTTAGCCCATTTGAAATACCAATAGTATTTCTAAATCAACTACTGTCATTGGTATCATGTTGCTTTGAATTATAACAACTATATTATATACACATATAGGAAAGTTAGTCTGTCAGTCATTTTCTACCTTATATTTTGGTTATTTACTGGTCTTGCCTATAAAATCTTAAGCTCTCTGACTCACCTTGAAACCCTTCCTCCCCATCTATGCAAACAATGCCTAACAGTGAAAGCAACAATTAATTTAGCACTATGGATCCTCCAGTTATTGCACACTTTTGTGGATTGTTCTGTACACAAGAAAAATTTTTCGAGTAAATAAAGGAATTCAACTAACTTGTTAACTTTCTTAGATGTAGAAATGTTAGGACAAGTACTCCGTTTATGGTCTAATTCACCACAAATAAAGCAGCCGTCTTTCGGGCCCTTGCAAGAATGATCTGGAAGAGCACAGTGATTGCAAATGCTACAGTGGATCCAGGCTGTAAAATAAAAAATTAGGTTTTAGAAGAGGTTCATTTAATAGAATTTTTCATTAGATTAACCCTTATGATGAGGAAGTATGAATAGTGTTTACTTCAAATATTGTGATCTCTTTACCAAGCTAATTATAATTTGGCTAAAGAGGCCAAGGTTAAGAGGCTGGAATCCCACGTAAACCAGTTAACTTCTTTCTGATATGTGGCAACAAATTCCACCCTTCGGTAATGAGTCATGGACCACTGAGACAATGGGGACCGGCTGAACAATACAAAATCCTATTAAAATAATCAAACCAAACAAGGTAGTCATCTCTCTCTCTCTCTAAAGGAGAGACAGTTCATTTTAATAAGTGTAAAAATTAAAAAGGAAGTAAATTAATGTAAGTCTCTATATTAATTTTCTTCTTTTGTAAATACAGTTAAATAAAAATTCTATTTAGATGAAGAAAAACTCAAATGTTTTCATAGGATCTCAAACACTAAGTCTAAATACTTACAAGGCTTTACACACTTTTTGCAGAGAAAGCAATGGTTCCATTTCCTGCCATCCTACAAAAACAATTTTTAAACTATGATTAATTTGTCATTAAGAATCAAGCCCCATAATTAAAAATTAAAATGGCTTATTAAAAGCTGTGTAAATTATTTATTCCTTATTTATCACTTTCCTGAGCTTTACAATTAAATACTTTGATTTTAATTTATGCATTTCTCCACTCAAATGCCCCAAATTCCCTAACACTAAAACTGGGGGATTATCTAAATGATCTTGAAAGTCCACTCCAGATCAATCAACCCAAACTGCACGAAGAAGGACTCAATGAAAATTTCAAGAGAATTAACGACTCATAGTTTTTATAGTCTATCTGACATGATCCTTAATAACGTTCATATTTGAGAAAATGTAATTTAGAAGGATGGAGGCTACTATCTGGGTAATTTAAAAACTGTGAGATAAAACATACCTAGAAAAGTACATGAAATACATACATCCAGTTTAGTGAGTATTATAAAGTGAACACTGAAGAACCCAAAAAGTCAAGAGACAGAATTCCATCAGTCCCCTAGACACTTCCCCAAATGCCCCTTCCAGTCCAGCATTCCTCCTTCCCCACTGAGGAACACCTAGCCTAGCTTTTCTGATGCTCACTTCCTTGTTTTTATTTTTTTCCACCTATGTGTACATCCCTAAATTTAAAAAAAAACTGTTTTCTTCCCTCTCATTTTGGAATTTGTATGATTTGGGCAAATTTTTTTTTTAAATGAAGAATACAGACAATTTCTAAACTAATTAGAAATATATATAACCAATGTTACCATAGTAAAAAACCAGTACAACCAGTAAGTTATTAAAAAAATGTACTTTCCAATAGTTATAAAAATACAGCCTTTCCTTTAGAGAATGGTACATGCTTATCAGCCAACTAAACTTCACATGTTCTTTTTGACTGGATGGAGTTAAAATAACAGGGTATCCTCCGGGGGATCCTGCCTTCCTAAAGACGTCAGCAGGAGGTATGTCCTCTGTAGTCCCTATCCGCCTGTGACAAGGCCTGTCTACTAGCGCTGTGTGAGGACTAAACGACTTAGTCCATGTACAGCACTTAAAAAGGGCCTGGCACATAAAGAGTCCTGTTACTAACTGCTGCTTCATCAGAACAGTGATTGGTATCTAATAATTCAATTCCTTATTTGAAACAATTTTGCCCTCAACAAAATTTAGTCTTCATTTAGTGCCTTATTTGAAACACTAGTAATTTTAGCAGTCACACATTACCATATAAAAATAACTCAAAAATTATTAATGATAATGAAGGCAACTAAATATTTTTAAAAGCCTGCAGTACTTTATGATTAGAGAAAAGATATTGTATTAAAATATAATTAATAAACAATAATACACTAACTGTTGTTGTTCAGTTGCTAAGCCGTTGCCCAACGCTTTGCGATCCCATGGACTGCAGGCACCTCTGTACTCCACTATCTCCCAGAGTTTGCTCAAATTCATGTCCATTGAGTTGGTGATGCTATACAACCATGTCATCCTCTGCTGCCTCCTTCTCCTTTTGCCTTCTCTCTTTCCCAGTATCAAGGTCTTTTCCAATCAGTTAGCTCTTTGCATCAGGTGGCCAAAGTATTGGAGCTTCAGCGACAGACCTTTCAATGAATATTCAGGGTTGATTTCCTTAGGATTGACTGATTTGATATCCTTGCTGGTCAAGGGACTCTCAAGAGTCTTCTCCAACACTACTATTCACAAGCATCAGTTCTTTGAAGCTCAGCTTTCCTTATGGTTTGACACTCACACCCGTACATGACTACTGGAAAGACCATAGCTTTGACTATATGGACTTTTGTCAGCAAAGGGATGTCTTTGCTTTTTAATATGCTATCTAGGTTTATTATAGCTTTCCTTCCAAGGAGCAGGTGTCTTTTAATTTCATGCCTGCAGTCACCATCTGCAGTGATTTTGGAGCCTAAGAAAATAAAATCTGTCACTGCTTCCACTTTTTCCCGATCTATTTGCCATGAAGTGAAGGGACTGGATGCCATGATCTTAGATTTTTGAATGTTGAGTTTCAAGCCAGTTTTTTCACTCTCCTCTTTAGAGGCTCTTTAGTTCCTCTTCACTTTCTGCCATTAGAGTGGTATCATGTGCATATCTGAGGCTGTTGATATTTCCCTTGGCAATCTTGATTCCAGCTTGTGAGTTATCCAGTTCAGCATTTCACATGATGTACTCTGCATATAAGTTAAATAAGCAGAGTGACAATATACAGTCTTGATGTACTCCTTTCCCAATTTTGAACCAGTCCATTGTTCCATATTAAGTTCTAACTGTCGCTTCTTGACCTGCATACAGGTTCCTTAGAAGACACGTAAAGTGGTCTGGTACTCCCATCTCTTTAAGAATTCCCCACAGTTTGTTGTGATTCACACAGTCAAAGCCTTTAGCATAATCAGTGAAGTTTATCAGTAGATGTTTCTCTGAAATTCTCTTGCTTTCTCCATGACCCAATGAATGTTGGCAATTTAATCTCTGGTTCCTCTGGCTTTTCTCAACCCAGCTTGCACATCTGAAAGTTCTTGGTTCACATATTGCTAACGCCTAGCTTGAAGGATTTTGAGCATAACCTTGCTAGCACGTGAAATGAGCACAACTGTATAGTAATTTGAACATTCTTTGGCATTAATACATTAATATGAATTATAATATTTTTATTTTTTTTAATTTATTTTTTTATCATAATATGAATTATAATATTTTTAAAAATTAAGAAAATGTAATGAAACTAGTGAACTAAAATAAAACTAATATATTTGAGTAAAAACACATTATAAAGAAAACTATACCTTGGATGTGCAAGAATTACAGTGTTCACAGTGTTGATTCTCTAGAGAAACATATCGTTGACACAGGGGGCAAAATCTAAGGAGAAAAGAAAGGCTCGATGAAATGAGCTGCATATATTTATACCTATTGAGATTCACAAGGTAGATAAAAGTTCACAAGGCATGTTACAAAAATTCGGTATAATTCAAATTAAATTCAATACAACATTTTAGGCCACATTTAATAGTAATAAAAGTACTACATGAGTCAATATGAAAGGCATTTTCATATCAGATATATGGAACTTTATTTTCAGTGACTCATGTATTTCAAGGTCCCTCTGTGATCTTACCTGTACCCTTCTTCAATAGGAAGGATTATTCTGTTAGGTGGGATATTTGTGAAAATACGCACAGGAGACTGTTTCCGTCCTGTCTTTCCATGTTTATAAAGTGCATGATTATCATAATCTACCTAGAAAGAAAAAAAAAAATTCAAAGAAAAATTTCTCAACTGAGTCAACATTTGTTAAGACTCTTTACCAACAGGTGAACAAACTGATGCCAAGATACAAATTAAATCAGAGCATTTAACAAGAAGTTCTTAAAAGCAAGAGTTTACTTATTAGTCAACAGATTCAGAGAGGACTCCATGAGAGTAAAATTTTATTATAAAAAAGGTAAAATTTGTTATGACGAATTCATGTTACCTGGGATTAAGAGAAGAACTCTAATCTTGTACCCAATGCAACAGACTCTGCAAGAAGGGCTATTACATAATTAAGAATTTAGCTTTGGGGGTTAAAAAATTCCACCTTTGATGATCCGTGACAGCTTGGTTAGGGTTTTTCACTTTTTGCATTCACTGCGTGTCAGTTTTCAGCTCCCTGAGGCTCAGTGCCACCTTGGTTTGGCCCTCCACCGTCACTTTCTGACAGAGCCAGCTCAAGGCCAGGCAGTGGCTCTGCCGCTCACCTGTTATATTACCTCAGGCAAGCCTGCATCATTTTCAACTGGAAAAGGAGGTTACTAACACTTACCTTAGAGTTGTTGTTAAATGAGCCAATGTATGTAAAATACTGAATTCAGGACCTGGCATATGCTGGAGACAGAAGGATGGAGACACAGAGGGAAATCAACTACAGTTCTCCCCACAGTGACCACTTCAAGCATTCACCTCTCTCCTTAAGATCCCTAACTCAACCTCCCCTGTCTATAGATTATCTGGAAAATAAACTGAAACCAACAAGCATGATTCCTATCAGCTTCTGGCTCCCGTCTCCTCCTCCAGACTATCCACCCATAAACATTCTCAGTTTGGTTTTAAACCTGCCATGAATTCCACCTAGCCACTAAGTCCATCTTTCTTCAGATCATTAACTCTCAAAGTGTGGTGTCTGGATCAGCAATATCAGCATCACCTGGGATCATGTTAGAAATGCAATTTCTTGTCCCACCTAGGACCAAAAACACAAACTCTGGGGGTGGGGTCCAGCAATCTGCATTTTTAACAAGCCCTCTCTTCGCATACTAAAGCTTGAGAAACACTGCTTTAGATCACCCACAAGAGTATTATGGGATTTTTATAAGATAGATCCCAACTTTCAAGTAATAAATTGTGTAGATTCTACATAAGATTACACTTAAGAATTTACAACAGAACTAACTCACAAGCTAGCTACTTAATGAGAGAATTACAAAAATATAAGGCATAAAGCATCTCAGAAATTCCTGTCAAAGTGTCCAAAACTTTGGCCACCTGATGTGAACAACTGACTCACTGGAAAAGACCCTGATGCCCTGATGCTGGCAAAGATTGAGGGCAGGAGGAAAAGGGGACAACAGAGGATGAGATGGTTGGATGGCATCATCGACTCGATGGACATGAGTTTGAGCAAGCTCTGGAAGATAGTGAAGGACAGGGAAGCCTGGCGTGCTGCAGTCCATGGGGTCGCAGAGTGGGACATGACTGAGCGACTGAACTGAATTGAAGGCATTGAGCACAATGGAAAGAGAGGCCTTTAACGGGAGATTCCTAGGTTCTTCCATGGCCATATCACTGCTGGCTAGATTTACAGGAGAACAAATTTAGGAAGACTGATTAACAAGCTTCAGCAGTCGGGGGAAAGAAAAGTACAAGGTGAGGAGACCCAACTAAACGAGAGACAGTGAGGAAAAAAGCCCTAGGGTGTTCTGCGTGGTGAGCATATACAGGTCAGCATAGTGAGTCCACAGTCTAGTGTAACCATGTAAGAGTAGGTGTGGGCCTACAGTTGGACTACTCGGGACTATAACAACTATAATATTATTAACAAGGAAAGAAGATGAGGTTAGATCACTTTCAAAGCTCTGCATTCAGTTGCTACATTTTAAGAGAGATATTAATAAAGCCAGTTCATATCTATTGAAAGTAATGGGGATAAATAGGACTTACAGTTGTACAGACTGGGGGTATTTATTCAGAAAAGGGAAGACTGGGAGGATCTGATGGCTATAACTGAAGGGGTGTCATGTGGAATAGAAATTAGACTTCTCCTTCATTGCTTTGGAAAATAGAAGTAGGACCAATGGTTAGAAGTTAATAGGGAGCATATTTTATCTCCATGTGAGAAAATTTTCTAATGATTAGAGCTATTAAATAAATTGAGTTGCCTTGTAAGGCTGTAGGACTTTGCTCACTGAAAGCATTCAAGTGAGGCTAGATGGCTGCTTGTCATGAATTTAGTGGAGAGGATTATTACATTGGGAAGTTAGCCTATGCTAAAGCTATGCTTGTTTCCAACTTTAAAATTCTATGAATATATGTTACTATTAGGCTAAGATACAAAAGTAGACTTTACTTCAATCACCTTAAAACAGTACTTTACATAGTTTTCTTCTAAAATGGTTTAGATTCATAATTTTTCCCTAATGCACTTCTCCTCAATGTACTCAGTAAATATATGGCACCTTATTAAATCCAACAAAGGTATTCTGAACATTTATGAGTGTCATAAGAAAAAAAATTCTTTCCAAGAGAATCTTATGAAGATTTTCAAATGCTGGAAAAGAGTATCTTAGAAAGACTTCTAGTAAATGGAATACTCTATGCAATAGAATAGATAGCAGATGGAAGAGAGGGGGAAAAAAGAACAATTTCTTTATGATTACCCAAGGAGTCAGAGAATGTGTGTGTCAGGAAGGTGGTTGATTACTTGATTTTGCATAACCTAATTGAGATTATTATTATTTTTAAATGTGGGTTTGTTGTGCTAATTAACTATAAACATATGGTATGTAAAATGCATGCTGCTAGGGTAAATTAATGTACCTCTAACATACATCCATATTTCATAGCTTCATCCACACAAATAAACCTCCTATGGAAGTGCTGTAAAGCAAACACAATTTTGCAAATTGCATATCACTAGTGGTAGAGCTGATACACCATTTTCCCATCATTATCCCTGACATTTCACTCACAATGATGATGAGAGGCATTTTCAAATAGAAAATTTCTCCCATGGAACTGATTAATGTGATGAAGTACTGTATAGAAATGAGGGAAAGCACAAAATCTCTGCAATTTCTAACTTTTAATTTTATCTATAAGCAAATGTCTTCTACAACACAAGACTGAAACTAGTTCTATGGAAACCAAGACATTCAACTCGACAATTACTCTGCACCTACTATGCTTCAAGTGCCATGCTGGGAAATAAAAATTAAATAAAAAACAGTACATACTTGTATTTTCAGAACTCCCTAAAGTACGTTCTGTTTAATTTCATTATATTCAAAAGATCCCAAGTGAACTCTTCAGCTCCATCAATCAACTTCTGCCATAGCAATAAGGTTTTTTACATATATATTATATATACAACACGAAATATATTCATCAGGCTTAAGTCTAAAAGTAAAACTTATCTGTCATCCCTTTTTTGGTTCAATTATTTTCTTTTACAAGTAAGGAAACAGAGACCTGGAAAGTGACTTCCCTCAAGATTAAAGAACTTCTAAAAGGTTAAAAACCTTATTCCATGTAACCTCTTATTTTAAATGTCATATGTATAGATACATATAGACATACACAGACATGTTCGTATATTGTTCATCACTTCAAATCCATTAAATATTTTATGTTTACTATATAATGAGTTTTGAGAAATTCTTGTCACCTTATAATTTACAATCATTTCTCAGAAATTCCTATCAAAGTGTCTTCATTTCTTAACATGAAATCAGCCTTGAAAAACAGTTTTCTAATGGGATGATTTTTTTAAATGATAGCTTTAAAAAAAAAAAAAGCAAAGATCTCTACTTTTAACGATCCAGATAAATGTCCCAGACTAAGTAGAAACAAGAGATCAGAGCATGTTCCAGGTGGAAGGGAAGTGAGATGATCCAGCTCAGATATGGTAAATACAGGACCTGAATCTACCACTCTCTGACTCTAACTCTGTGGCAGACATCACTAATCAATCACGCTACTTTCTGCCACTGAGTCTGGTATTCTCAACAAATTCTCCAGGAAGTCACTATCAATTCATCAGGCTTGAGTCTAAAAGTAAAACTTATCTGCCATCCCTTTTCTGGTTCAATTATTTTATTTTACAGGTAAGGAAACAGAGACCTGGAAAGATAAAGTAACTTTCAAGATTAAATAGCTTCTAAAAGGCAGTGCTAGGACTCAAACTTCTGACTCTAAATCAGAATTTCTTTTCATTACCAAATCCTTCCTTTATAGGTCTTTGATAACTATTTTATTCTGTATTCATCAAGTGCTTTATCACTGAAGATTCTACATGACTTATATCTTATGAAGATTTGCAGCATTTCCGCTTTCCTCTAACCTAAAAAGTATTTCTGAAAAAAGAGATTTTGTGATTTTTTTTTTTTTTTACAGTATTGTGGTTTGGGGGCATATAATCATCTCAGACCAAGTCAGAAAGAAGGCTTAATCAAGGTCTATGGGAAAAGATCTGTGAAGGGGGAGAGGAAACTTGAAAATTTTTCATTTGATGAAGGCAGTTTAATATAAAAGGGAAAAAATTACCACAAAATGAAGCTAAAGTAACAATAGAAAAAAAGAAAGAATGCAAAAGGTTTGGAAAGGATTATAATAAGTCTAGAGAAAATCTCAAAACAAAAACAAAAAACAGAAAAACCATCAAAGGTGAAGTACAATAAACGAGGTTTACGTTCACCCCAGGAGATCTGGCAAAATCTTATGTAATGGGGCAGTAGTTCTTATCTTTAGTAGCAATCACAAAAAAATGAAGATTTTTTTTGTTTTATAGTTTTATTTTAATCATCTCAAAAGCTGGCTTTCTCTTTATTGAAAACACTGCTTTTCACCCTGTCTGATATACAAGATCAAATGAGAACCTTTTCCCCCGAAGCACTGAGTTATAGAACTACTTTCAGTAAGCTTGGACCTTGGAACTAGTTCTCAAAACTAAAACTCCAACATTTGTAAAAGTTCTTTTGTAGTAACACAGCCTGTCTAAACAAACGATAACTGGTTAATCCACATTAATTGCTCTCATCTGCCTTATCCTGGATCTGCCTTCTTCTGCCTCCTCACCATTTCAAACTCTTGCCCACAGTGAAAAAATGGAAATAAGTTTGAGCAAACTCCAGGACATAGCAAAGGACAGGGAAGCCTGGCATGCTGCAATCAATGGGGTTGCAAAGAGTCAGACATGACCTAGCAACTGAACAACAACAGAATGTGGATGAAAGTTTTCTGAGGAATGATGTGTTTACAATTTTAATGTCTCAGATACTGTACAAAAGAGACCTGAAGAAAAGTTTTACCCTGAATCTGGGACCATCTGAATGATGACAATATCAAGATGGTTTCAACAATGCTGAGAGCAATGACCTTTATTCTACATTTGCTGTGGGTCAGAGACAAGGCTAAGCTTTTTGAGATATTATCTCAAATAATTCTTAAAACCTTATGAGGCAGATATATTGTTACTATGCTCATTTAACAAGTAAGATAAGTTTCAGAGAGTTAGATAAAATGTGCAGGCCTAGTTATTACGTGTCAGAACTAGGATTAAAACCCAGTTCCTTTTCAACTCCAGAGTTCATGCTCTTTTTCATTCAATTACTCACTCAACGTCTATAGGGGACCTACTATGTGCCAAACATTGTACTGGATGATTATTCACTGTCAAAGGCAGCAGGTGCACCTGGAAGCCAGAAATGGCTTACTCAGTTAACATCGCTAGGATATGTCAGCTATCTCTGCTTTACAAGTGTCCATATTACAGTAGAAGCATCCTTCAGACAAGAAACAGAAAACTGGATGCCCTAAAAAGGAAAGTAAACCAGCTTTGAGAAGAATTATGATACAGATTTTGCCTAAAGCAGAGCTTAAGAAATCAAGGTTAAAATGACTTGTGCTACACAGTTTTGGAAAGGAATCTGTCAATGTGGTTCAACAACCATGAAAATGTCCATTAAACTTGACAGTGTAACTTTTGTAATTCTATTTTAGTTTTAGAAATTTATTTTAGGGGAGTTATGTACAATATAAAAAAATTTTATGAATAAAGGATGTTTAAAGGTGGAAGCAACCTCTTCAGTCCGAAAAAAGAGAGAACAACAACATAGTCCATTAATGAAATAATAAAGCATAAGATTATATAGCTACATTTTAAAATATACATTTACATAAGGCACCATGAAGGAAGCAGAAATCATACTCATCTGCTATGATTACAAATATGTAAAAGGATTTTCTGAAAAGACTAGAAGTGAATACAGTTGACCCCTGAACAACACAAGTTTGAACTGTGTGGGTCTACTTATTCACGAATCTTTTTTAATAGTAAATACTATCAAAACAAATTTGGCTGAATCCACAGATGCAGAACCACAGATATGGAGAAAGTTCAAATACAGAAGGCTAATTATAAGTTATACACTGATTTCCAACTGCACCCCTAACCGTCCAGTTATTCAAGGGTCAACTCTACTTCAACAACATATTTGCTGTTTGGAGTAGAATTACAGGTAGAATCTGTGCCCTCATTTTTAGTAACACTGTTTCTCACATTATTTCTAAATAATTTTCATAATAATATACATCTTCAAGATGTACAAAGATTAGCACCAAGTGCTACAGGAATTACACATATTATCTTGTAATAGTGTATAATATAATATAATCTGCAAAAATACTGAATCACTCTGCTGTACATCTGAAAGTAACACAGTATGGTAAATGAACTGCGCTTCAACTAATAAAAGAATCACTGCTGGCTTGGAACGACTAGTGAAGACTTTTACAATTTGGGGGCTGAAAAGCCTTGATCAGAGACTAGTCAACTGCTCAGAAAACTCAAACAGAAAAATATCATTACAGAAGAAATAGTGCCCCCTTGCTGACCACACACTGTGATGGCAACAATAGAGCTAAACTCAGAACTCAAGGAAATGAATCCAGGAGAGTAGACACTAAAGCAGACTAGCTGAAAGGCAGGGATGTGAAGGAGAAGGTCTGGTCAGTGCCCTGAATCAGCACACCCACACCTCAGCATCTTCGCTTCTCTGACACACTACTTGTTCCAACACGACTTTGGGCAAAACCCTCCTGGGAGCTCCTGGCATCCTCTGGGCAACAAAGTAAAGTATACACGGCATTCCACCCACCAGAAAAAGGGATTTACTTCTCTACCACCTCTGAATGGAGAAATCCCATGTTCATAATGATGATCTTGGGGTGCTGCCCAATCTCCTGGTGATGTGAAACATTAGATCATTTAGTTTAAAACCTGGCTGAGTTCAGAATTACCTGGGAAGCTTGGTAAAATATTTTTTCTTACAGCTTTACCCTCTGATTTTGATTTAGTAGGCTTATTTTGGTACCTAAGAATCTATATTTTTAATAGGCACCCTGGAGATTACAGACACCAGGAACCACTGCACTAAGTTACATATGATAGAGTTTTAGTGTCTCATATAGCTTATAGTGTTTGCATTTACTAAAACTGATGGATAGTCCTAAAAGAATATTTATTTAAGCAGAATATCCACTTCCCAACCATGCCAGAAAATAGAATATTTACCATACCTGGTAATCCAGCATGCAGAAGCTTGGGAAAAACTGACAAATTCGGGATTCAAAAAAATAGGGGAAAATCCAGAATATGGGTAGTTCTTTCTGACTGTTATCTAATGGATCACAAAAAAGAGAAAAGAAAAGAAAAACTGATATTAGAGAAAAAATATATCAGAGAGTTGTTACTGAAAAAAAGATGGTATTGTGAGAAATTGTAATCCTTCAATACATTTAAATCATACAGAAGGAGAGACTATTTACCAGAGTACCATTCACAACTTGACTTTTCCCCAAAGTCAATGGAAACATTCTCGTATATTTAACCACAGCTACACAGGGTATGTATATAAAAGTTAACTTTATATGCATATCACTGTGGTCTAGGTAAAGGCAAAGATATTACCTAAAAAGTGAGAAATAACTTATCTCTGCCATAACTCACTATGCCAGTTTTCAGGGTGGATCCATCTTTTCTGAATAATGGAAGATTCTTATGAACAATTTCATCAAAATTAATTTTTATGAGAGACAGTGGACATAGCTATTATTTACAGAATACCTCATACAGGCTATGCCCAATGCTAGGAACTTTCTATGTGTTCCATAGAAAGTTTACCATAGAAAGTTTACTTTACCATAACTCCTGGAGTCAGATATTAATATAGTAATCTCATATCACAGATGCGGAAACCGCAGCTGCAAAATTTAAGCATTTTGTTCAAATTTATGTAGCTAATGAGCAGCAGAACTGAATTCAAACCCACAGGGTTCTTTATTGCTTCCCCAATAGCAATGACTTTTCCACTTTGATAAGTAGACCTCAGAACCAAAAATAAGTGGGATACTTAGCACTATGAGTCACTTTTCAGATTTCATTTGCATCCTGTCCCCAAAGCACACTATTTATATAGCACAATTAATGGAGAAGCTTGATCACTTAATTCCTGACACTCTTATATTTATCAATTTGCAGGCTGGAAACTGAAAAATGATTACACTGACTAATTAGGCAATTATATAAAATACTTTGAAGTCCTAAGCCACTTTAAGCTGAATATCCCCCAGTCATTAACCCACTTCTAGAGTCAGGTATCCATGCGTCACTGCTAGGCTACTTGATGGCCAACCTTCCCAAACAAATCTCTGCACAGTTCAGAGCTTTGGCCCAGAGGCTGGGTGCCCTCCTAGAGTTTTGGGTAAGGCTTTTAGAAGATGAAATATAAGGTCCATGAGGGCAGAGATAAGTGTCCATTTACCACTCCATTTCCAGTATCTAAACAGTATCTGGAACATAGTGGCCATTTAATAAATAGTAAATAAATGACAACAGTTCACTGATATTCTGTTAAATGTTCACAGATAATGCCTCTTTATGCCCACCAAAATCAAATATTTTATTTATGAGCCATTTTTCAAACACATGATTAGAATAAAACAAAGTGTATCATGATAAAGTCATCATCAAATATGCCTATTTTTCAAAAAAGAAGAGAATGCAAGGCATGTATATTTTTTCAGTGCTCTGATTCACTAAGGTCTGCTAATATGTGACAGGAAGTAGATGCATATACATATTTATTTTGCAGTAAATAATAAATCACACACCTTGGCTGTGACCTTCTTTCCACATAGCAATTAACTTCTTGAATGTAACAGCCAGAGGTTCAACCAAGCCACCAAATGGAGGATCTGTCACCATGATCACTCCTTCACCTTTATCTTCCTGTAAAAATGTCTTGCACACTTCAAGGGCAGCCTGGAACAAACAGAAATTCATTTCTAAATTAGGACCAGAGGCAGGAACTTCGCCCTACTTTGAGGAGAACGCACTAGGCTCAGTCTCTCTCTTCATCCTGAACTTCACCCACCCTATCACCCCAGAGGCCCTCAGTGACATTCTGAAGCCTCTCTCATTTGGCCCCATAAGATTTTATCTTCAGGTTCCTTGATAAGTGAGTTTATAAAACTGTAAATTCAAACACCATCACTATCAAAGGACTACACATTTCAAATAGTTAAATTAAAAAACTAAATTTAGTAACCTAAAAGAGAGAAACTCACTATCCATGAAGACTATCTAAAATGCTAAATTCAATTCAACAAACAGAAGCAGGGACTGCACTAAACACTGGAGACACAAAGATGGAGAAGACATATTTTTCCTATCTGGTTTGTCCAACACCATAATTTCAATTTAGTGAGCTACAAATCACCAGTTAAACACACATGTGTTTTTGAGTGCCAGGTAAATGGCAGGCATATTTGAACAATGAAAAGTAAATAAATGCAAGTTCACAAAAAAACAAAGCTTATTCAGGCCATGAAACTGTGTTACTAACATATTTCCCCAACAAACTAACTGAAGTGTTTTTAGTAATTGCCAACATCCATTGGATCATCAAAAAAACAAGAGAGTTTCACAAAAACATCTACTTCTGCTTTATTGACTATGTCAAAGCCTTTGACTGTGTGGATCACAACAAACTCTGGAAAATTCTTAAAGAGACAGGAATACCTGACCACCTGACCTGCCTCCTGAGAAATCTGTATGCAGGTCAGGAAGCAACAGTTAGAACTGGACATGGAACAACAGACTGGTTCCAAATGAGGAAAGGAGTACGTCAAGGCTGTATATTGTCACCCTGCTTATTTAACTTATATGCAGAATAAATCATGAGAAATGCTGGGCTGGATGAAGCACAAGCTGGAATCAAGACTGCCAGGAGAAATATCAATAACCTCAGATATGCAGATGACACCACCCTTATGGCAGAAAGTGAACGGGAACTAAAGAGCCTCTTGATTAAAGTGAAAGAGAGTGAAAAAGTTGGCTTAAAGCTCAACATTCAGAAAACTAAGAACATGGCATCTGGTCCCATCACTTCATGGCAAACAGATGAGCAAACAATGGAAACAGTGAATTCATTTTGGGGGGGGCGGTGCTCCAAAATCACTGCAGATGGTGATTGCAGCCATGAGATTAAAGGACACTTTACTCCTTGGGAGGAAAGTTATGACCAACCTAGACAGCATTTTAAAAAGCAGAGATATTACTTTGCCAACAAAGGTCCATCTAGTCAAGGCTATGGTTTTTCCAATAATCATGTATGGATATAAGAGTTGGGCTATAAAGAAAGCTGAGTGTGGAAAAACTGATGCTTTTGAACTGTGGTGTTGGAGAAGACTCTTGAGAGTCCCTTGGACAACAAGGAGATCAAGCCAGTCCACTCTAAAGGAAATCAGCTCTGAATATTCATTGGAGGGACTGATGCTGAAGTTGCAGCTCCAATACTTTGGCCACCTGATGCAAAGAGCTGACTCATTTGAAGGGACCCTGATGCTGGGAAAGACTGAAGGCAGGAGGAGAAGGGGACGACAGAGGATGAGATGGTTGGATGGCATCACTGACTCAATGGACATGAGTTTGAGTAGACTCCGGAGATGGACAGGGAGGCCTGGTGTGCTGCAGTCCATGGGGTTGCAAAAAGTCAGACACAACTGAGCGACTGAACTGAACTAGTAACTGCAAAGTTAACCTTAAAAACTGTCCAGTATATTTATCCCTTTTTTGCTTCTGAAAAGATGAACAAGAGACAGACCTATAATACTAGCTACTGACTTTGTAGTAGCTTTCAAGTACTCATCTATAAAAGAAATCAGCATTTTTAGTATACAAAACAGTAGAAGATTTTAAAGTTTAATGGCATTTAAACTTTAATAAATCTATATGTACTTTATAATAAAATATATATTGTTCTACTATTAAATCAACTTAGAAGACCCAATTGAAGAAAGGAAAAATCACAACACCTGAATCCCTTTTCTCTAAGAAAGTCTTTATTAACTTTCTCCTGGAAGTCCTACAGCAAAGGATGGTGTCAAGAAGGTTAATCATTTTTCAAGTGCTGCCTGGCACTTCCTTAACCTGCCTACACGATCAAGGACTAAAATTACAGACGATGTTATTGAAAAGCCTTCAAATCCCTAAAAGTTGTAAGTAGGGAAGGAAAAAAGTAAACAAAGCCTGAACACTTAACAAAATTTTTAAAAAACATTAAAGAGTACCTTTCCAGGTAAGAAATCAATGGTGAGGTGTACTGTTCTGAGTGGCTGAGGGTCCTAAGGTGGATCACCTTAGGAAACAAGGCGGGAAACAAGATAACCTGCGTATGCCACCAAAGTTGACAATAACTTAACTCTTTTCTTCATCTCGGTGGCTAGCATTTTAAATAGGCACCCTCTGTACACACTTTAACCACCCTAACCATTAAGGTGTATGACATTTTTTATTTTTTGAGAGACTATATTAGTGGCTATGAAAAAAAAATCCTGGACAGGAAACTTCTGCTTTTTAATCCAGTCAACTGGGGAGAGCTTCTATGCAGTGGCAGAGGCTTAGATCCGCAAAGGCACTTCACAGACAGGCATCTTGGAGACACTTACATACTTTAGTGATCGATTATTAGATGGTAATCTCTACTGGAAACCTTGACTCCAAGTAGGCAGAAAAGATGCAGACAATAAAATCATTAAACCATAGTTTTCTACAGATCATTCTCTACAGCTGTAGGTGCTATTTAGAGGCTGCTCCTAAAACACAGAGAAAGGAGAGCCTGATTTGGATGCCTGTCTTCTTCTAGGAAAGAAAACATGGAGCTCAGTCTTTACAGCTTATTCCAACGGGTGTTCTAGAAACTTGCAAGGTAATTCTATAAACTCGCAATAAAACTTCCATAGAATTTCCTAGAGAAATGCTAATTATGTGTTACTTTCTTGAAATATATAAAATTGCTGGCCAACTGTTAGGTATTTAAATGTAATTTTACTCGTCTTTATGGTTCAAAATAAAAAGCAAAGTCATGGTCTAGTTTTTTTTTTTTTTCCATTTATTTTTATTAGTTGGAGGCTAATTACTTTACATCATTGCAGTGGTTTTTGTCATACATTGAAATGAATTAGCCATGGATTTACATGTATTCCCCATCCCGGTCCCCCCTCCCACCTCCCTCTCCACCCGATCCCTCTGGGTCTTCCCAGTGCACCAGGCCCGAGCACTTGTCTCATGCACCCAACCTGGGCTGGTGATCTGTTTCACCCTAGATAATATACATGTTTCGATGCTGTTCTCTTGAAACATCCCACCCTCACCTTCTCCCAGAGTCCACAAGTCTGTTCTATACATCTGGGTCTCTTTTTCTGTTTTGCATATAGGGTTATCGTTACCATCTTTCTAAATTCCATATATATGTGTTAGTATACTGTAATGGTCTTTATCTTTCTGGCTGCATGGTCTAGTATTAAGAACAAAAATATGAATCCCTGACCCACTACTGAAGCATCAGGCAGCAGCAGAAGCTCGGCTACTCCCTCATCTGTGTCACTAGTGCTGACAGCACCCCTGAGCTCAAGGCCCCACAGTGCCAAGAGGCCACCCTGGACCCTTATATGTCCATATTCTGCCAGCCCCACAAACTCAACATTTCCAAATGTCACTTACAAACTTCCCCACTCTGTGTTTTGAAGAATGAAAGATGAACCCAGGTCATGGCCCCATGGTATCTTTGGCCTCTTACCCAGCACACGTATCACCAAGTCTGTTTTTTTATTGAGGTATAATTGACATGTGTACACACAGTAATTACACCAAGTCTGCTGGTCTCCACCAGTAAGATGTCCTCCGAACCCGCTTCTTTCCTTTTCCTACTCTCACTGTCTGAGCCCCTTTTCACCTCAAGTGATTTTTCAATTTCTTGTTCTCCTTAGAGCTCATCTAATCAGTCCTCAAATTCTGGTGATTATTAACCACATAAGCCCTTCAGGAAACAGTGAAACACATCTAATTGTAACTGCTATTTACTTCAGTACTTGGTTTTCATAGCTCTCACTGCTGAAGAACGTGTATCCCAAAGCTAAATTGATTCTGATGGGAGGAGTACATCCTTGGCTATACCTACTCCATCAGGAGACTCACTTTTCAATCCCAACCAACAATTTAGAATCTAGTTTCATTTCCTAAATGCAGAGGTCTTTTGGTCTTCTTGGTTTTCAGTCTGTCAGGTAATATCTTAAAGCACAATACATACTTAAGCACAGCTCACCATTTTCTAAAAGCATATATATATGCACATATGCATGGACATGGGCTTCTCCTATAGCTCAGCTCGTACAGAATACACCTGCAATGCAGGAGACGGCCGGTTCAATGCCAGGCTGGGAAGATGCCCTGGAGAAGGGACAGGCTACCCGCTCCAGTCAGTATTCCTGGGCTTCCCTGGTGCTGGCTCAGAGAGTGAAGAACCTGCCTCCAATGCGGGAGACCTGGGTTTGATCCCTGGGTGGGGAAGATCCTCTGGAGAAGGGCATGACAACCCACTGTAGTATTCTTGCCTGGAGAATCCCCGTGGACTGAGGAGCCTGGTGGACTACAGTCCATGGGGTCACAAAGAGCTGGACACGACTGAGCAACTACACACAGCACAGCACATGTGTGGATATGCTGCAGGTAGTCTTGATAATTTCAAATATTTTTGGCCAGCCTCCTGTCAGTTATGATTACTTGGCTGGTTACAGATTTTATTTTGTAATGGGACTAACACAGAGTTCAAAACAGGAGTAGAAATATCAGTTCTTGCTATGTTGTTTATTCACAAGGTCATTATTAACATCATACTGAAAGAAGGTTTTTTTTAAGCCACTCTCCTTTTTTTAAGGCTAATTTTTAAGAGCAGTTTTAAGTTTACGGTGAAACTGAGAGGAAGGTTCAAAGATATCCTACATACCCCCTGTTCCTACCCCTCCCCCATTACCAATATCCCCCCACCAAAGTGGGACATCTGTTAAAAGTGATGAACCTAAACTGACACATCATTATCACTTAGAGTTCATAGATTGGGGCTAACTCTTGACACTGTCTATTTTTTAAGGATTAGTTTAATAAAACCATAAATCCCCTTAACTGGGACATGAAATTTATCAGAGAGGAAGACATCAAACAGCTAACCACAGAATTACTTAATTACAGTATCATAAATCTACAAAGGAGAACCTGACCTTGTCTGAGGGTAGGGGAAGCTGGAGAAAGGAACTTGGAACAGGGTTCTGAAGGATGAGGTGAAATTAACAGGGCAAAGAGGGAGTAGAAGAAGAAGGGAACAGCATGGCAAAAGCCCCTGTGATGGAAAGGCCAGCCTGAGACTAATGTCATATGTCCTGGATACAAACAGCAAAGCAGGAATGGAGAGAAGACAGGCTGGAGGGTGGCAGGGTCAAATCACACAAAGCTACATGGGTCTTGCTGAGAAAGTAGGTCTTTACCCAAGAAACAGTGCAAAGCATGAAAGGTGAATAACATGATCACCCCTAGATGCTCGATAACACTCAGTGAACAAACAAAAGTAAATATCAATCAATGGAGGAACAGCCACCATTTGCTCTTGAGGGACTGTAGAAAAATAATGAAGGAAATACAAGAAAAGAAGAAAGAGATAATGGTCATAACTCTTACCTTTCCATCAAAGAAGTGATGGTTAAACATATTATAATGGCAAAAACTATCTTCCATATAAAACTGCGAATACCTGTAAAATAATTTATTACTGTAGTTACTTGTCTGGTCACAGCTTATATAGTAAATAAATGTAAACTAAATTTTAAAATTATGAAATCACACCTTAAATAAAATCAATTTCATCATCCTTCAGGTTTCTGAAATAAAGAATACTTTCCGCAAACCTCAAGAAGCTAACAATAGTGGATGAATAACAAACTTAGATTATGGTCCTAAGTTTAATAAGCCAGTGGGAAAACTACAGAAAACTCATATACAAAAAACACACATATTCCTATGGACCAGAAGATTATAAATAAATAATTATGTTCCTGATAGATTATTATGCATTTTAAGCTTGAGTCGGGTTGGCAGTTAAAATATGTCTCTCATAGTTATTAATTTTAAAGAAAATACTGAATCAACATTTCTGTTCAACAGCTGTTATTTTCTTCTGTGGCTAACAAAAAAGGTATTTAATACAGAGTTTTTCTTGTCTATTGCAAATTAGCTTAATAAAATATGCTTCTTAATACATAAGAAAAAGAATTTATGTGCATTTCATATTTACTGAATTAGTGCCAGGAAACAGGATATTTATTTACTGATTGAATCATTTTATTCTTCTAACATACTATTTTAAAATGCAATCACTAATGAATGGGAACACCGGCTTTGGGTATTAACACATTATAATTTCTGCTAATTTACTAGGCAAAATTCATACCACATTTATGGCTTAAACTTGCATTTACTTGATTTCTTACAAAACTGAAACTTCTTTCTTCCTTAATTTTATTTGTACTGCCTACCTCTGTTTTCCCTATCTATGTCCATGGGTCTTAATGTCTTTCTTGTGACTTCTGAGGGTTTTCTTTGTGTAATATAGAAACCTCTTTCATCTCAATAGGATTCTGAACTTGCACAGTTTGTCAAAAACAATTCACACAGGACCACGCCATCCTTCTATAGAACACATAAGATAGTGGAAAGACTGAAAAAAATCATGGACACATACTTACTTATACAACTTTTTTAACCAAATCATGACCGTGGCACTTCTTTGCTTCTACTCACAGTTATTTAATACCATCTGCACGATCACCAACCATGTTGAGTATTTAATACAATGGACAAGCCTAGTTTATCCTCTTTCTGTTACACCGTAACTAACAGTACAGCTCCACAGTCAGGGGGAAAGTTTTCAAACTCTTAAGTTTCTCAGTTACCAGCTATACAACTTTAGTAAGTTATTTTACCTATCTGAGCCCCAGTTTCTTCATCTGCCAAATGGGAAAATGATTTCTACCCTATAGGACTAGGTGAGAATACATAAGATAATTATGTAAAGTGCTTAATACAATGCCAGCTATAAAGCATATACTGAGATTTCAGGTATCATTATTTAAATAAATACCGGCTATAAAGATTTATGTCTCAATGTCTCTAATAGTAAGGAATTAGGTTTATGTCCAACCAAAATTTCTCCTCCTGTAATCTAAACCCATTTCCTCTTATTCTGTGGAGACAGAAGAACATCTGTTCACCATTCTCAATACAATATCCCTTAATATCATTTAAGATACTGTTAGTACATCTGCTGACATAAATTTAAACTGAAGAAGTAAACAGAAGGCTTAAATAACTGAAAATATTTAAACTATACACTGTAACCTAAGGAACACTCCAGAAACTGTGGGACAATGTCAGTTACCATTATTTAACAAATGTCTTCCTCTTTAACCAAATCCCAAATAGCTGGTACTATATCCATATTAATTATTTCATTTACATATACATTAAGACGAGTACAGTTGTAGATCAACCATCACTGAGGTGTTCTCCCTTGCACTGCTTTTTGTGAGCAAGGGGAAAAATACAATCCCTTTTTAAATGTATTTCTACCGCCCTCCACTTTTTTCACTGCTTCATAATGCAATAGGTCTTTTTTTTTAATTAAAAAAGAAAATGTTATTTACAAAAATTCAGCACAGCACACTTGTCCAAAATGTTCTCAGCAGCAGTGGGCAGAGCCAGAGAGAGAAAAAAGCCAAGGTTTCAGCTCTAAGCTTCCATCAAACACAAATAAGAGAGCATAATTATTCATATTTCAAATTACAAAAAATCACTCAACATTACCCTCTTAAAATGAAATTTGCCACAAAGAATTATTCTCTCCATTGAATAAGGAAAACAAAACCAATCAGAAATGCATACACTTGAAAACTGCTCAAAAGGACATCCATTTAATTTGGCCATTCATTCTCTTTAAATAAGAACCAGTTACCAAGTATGAAACATGTTCTACACACAGGAAATGTAATCAAGAGCTGAATAAAATTAGTTCACGAAATGAACCTAAGAAATTCAGCTTTTTGATATAACTTTATTTGGATGTAGTTTGCCAAACAGAATTTCACATCTTTCATGCTAAAATTGGAGCATACAGAAATCCATCTTAGCAAATGTTAACTTCATATCTTCTTTTTCTTTGTTGCTCACTTGCTAAGTCGCATCTGATTCTTGGCGACTCCATGAATTCTAGCATGCTGGGCTTCACTGTCCTTCACTATCTCCTGGACTTTGCTCAAACTCATATCCATCAAGTCCGTGATGCAATCCAACCATTTCCTCCACTGTCAGCCCTTTTCTTCTCCTGCCCTCAGTCTTTCCCAGCATCATGGTCTTTTCCAGTGAGTCAGCTCTTTGCATCTGGTGGCCAAGTACTGAAGCTTCAGCTTCAGCATCAGTCCTTCCAATGAATATTCAGGATTGACTGGTTCGATCTCCTTGCTCTCCAAGGGACCCTCAAGAGTCTTCTCCAGCACCACAATTCAAAAGAATCAGTTCTGTGGCACTCAGCCTTTTTTATGGTCGAACTTTCATACATACATGACTACTGGAAAAAACATAGCTTTGATTATATGGACCTTTGTCAGCAAACTGATGTCTCTGCTTTTTAAAATGCTGTCTAGGTTTGTCATAGCTTTTCTTCCAAGAAGAAAGTATCTTTTAATTTCATGTAGTCACTGTTTGTAGTGATTTTGGAGGCCAAGAAAATAAAATCTGTCACTGTCTCCACTTTTCCCCCATCTATTTGCTGTGAAGTGATGGGATTATATGTCATGATCTTCTTTTTTTGAATGCTGAGTTTTAAGCCAGCTTTTTCACTCTCCACTTTCACCTTCATCAAGGGGCTCTTTAGTTCCTCTTCGCTTTCTGCCATTATATAGTGGTATCAACTGCACATCTAAGGTTGTTGATATTTCTCCTGGTAATCTTGATTCTAGCTTGAGATTCATCCAGTCTGGCATTTCGCATGATGTATTCTGCATATAAGTTACATAACCAAGGTGACAGTATACAGCCTTGACATATGCCTTTCCCAGTTTTAAACCAGTCCATTGTTCTATGTCCAGTTCTAACGCTTGCTTCCTGACCCACATAAAGATTTCTCAAGAGACAGGTAAGGTGATCTGGTATTCCATCTCTTTAAGAAGTTCATATCTTAGATGCTCAGAAATGGACATTTTGGACTTGCCTGGTGGCCCAGTGGTTAAGAACTCACCTGCCAATGCAGGGGACATGGATTCTGTCCATGGTCCAGGAAGATCTGACATGCTACAAGGCAACTACGACTGCGAGCCACACCTCAGCCTGCACTCTAGAGCCTGTGCTCTGCTACAAGAAAAGCCACTGCAATAGGACGCCCGTTTGCTGCAACTAGAGGAAGCCCATACCCAGAGACCCAGTGCGGGCAAAAATAGAAGGAAGGAAGGAAGGAAGGAGGGAACGAAAGGAAAGAGCAGTTACAGCACATATACACAAAGCCCTAGAGTTGAGGTAGTTCTCTGCAGCTCTGCACAGACCTTCTGTAGGACAACAACAAGCCAAATGCAAAGTGCCAAAGAAACTATCTACTGCCACACTATACTACACAGAAATGTTTCCCTGATTTAATCGTGGTCTCTGTGAAAAATGTGAACTAACCCATCGTAATGTAAATACAGGCAACAGGCAGAGTTCATTCTGACTAGTAACTAGTATTTCAATTAAACCGGCTCTCTCTTAGCACTCAATGTTGACCTTTTACAGAACTGACTCAAAAATAGAGTAGCTATCAAAGAAGCTAAGCCAGGAGACCACAGTTCAATACCTTCAGCTTTTGTTTGCAACACACTCAGAGGTTTGCAGACACTGAAAGAAAAAACCATCTGTGTGTTCCATAGGTTATAAAACAACTTTATCTACATCACCTACTCCCTACTCAGACCAGGGGATTTAACTATAGGCTCAAGAAAGGTGAAACTGCAAGGTATGGCATTTAAGGCAAAAGAGTTTGTAAAGCACAATATAAATCTTTCAAGTTAAAAGTAAACCAGTAATAAGACTTAGAATTTCTTTTTAAGCAATGTTTTAAAAATTGATGTTACAATGATTAACTTAAAAAAAATAAAGCTAAATCAGATAAGATGCAAGAAAGTGTTTTGGAGGACAGTGCATACTGATGTGAATATACCTCACTTACGTCACACTACTGAACGGTATACTTAAAAAACTGGCTAACATGGTAAATGTTATGCTATGTTTGTTTTATTGCAATTAAAAAAAAAAAGTAAATCAGGGCATGAGCAATGAACAACACAAAATAAAATTTTTCAAAAATTTAATTTACAAAAACAACAGAAAGAATGAAGTGTTCAGGAATAAATTTAACAGAAGTACAAGTCCCGCACACTGAAAACTACAAAATCTTGTTTAAAGAAATGAAAGAAGAGCTAAATAAACGGCAAGATAGCTCACATTCATGAAACAGAACACTTAATATGGAAAGATGTGGGTTCCACCTCTGGGTCAGGAAGATCCCCAGGAGAAAGAAACAGCAACCCACTCCAGTGTTCTTGTCTGGGAAATCCCATGGACAGAGAAGCCCAGTGGACTATAGTGCACGGGGTCACAAACAAGTTGGATACGACTTAGTAACTAAACAACAACCCCTCAAATTGATCTACAAATTCAATGTGACTCCTATAAAAAGCTCAGCTAGCTTTTTACAAAAACTGAGTAGGTAATTATAAAACTCATACAGAAATGCAGTAAACCCACAACAGCCAAAATAATCTTGGAAAAGAATTAAGTTGAAAGATGCACACTTCCCAATTTCAAAACTCACTACAAAACAACAATTAAGATTGCATGGAATGGATAAGAAAGCTGTGGTACATATACACCATGGAATATTACTCAGCCATTAAAAAGAATACATTTGAATCAGTTCTAATAAGATGGATAAAACTGGAGCCCATTATACAGAGTGAAGTAAGCCAGAAAGATAAACACCAATACAGTATACTAACGCATATGTATGGAATTTAGAAAGATGGTAACGATAACCCTATATGTGAGACAGAAAAAGAGACACAGATGTATAGAACAGACTTTTGGACTCTACAGGAGAAAGCGAGGGTGGGATGATCTGAGAGAACATCATCGACACATGTATATTATCAAGGGTGAAACAGGTCACCAGTCCAGGTTGGATGCATGAGACAAGGGCTCGGAGCTGTTGCACTGGGATGACCCAGAGGGATGGGATGGGGAGGAAGGTGGGAGGGGGGTTCAGGATGGGGAACACATGTAAATCCATGGCTGATTCATGTCAATGTATGACAAAAACCACTACAATATTGTAAAGTAATTAGCCTCCAACTAATAAAAATAAATGAAAAAGAAAAGATTGCATGGGCCTGGTATAAGGACAGACACAGATAAATGGAATACAATTTAAGGTCTACAGATAAATGCACAGATATATGGCCACATGGTTTTCAATAAGGTTCCAAGAGCATTCAATGGGAAAAGAATAATCATTTAAACAAATGGTGCAAAGGCAACTCGATATCCACATGTAAAGAATGAAACTGGACCCCTACCTCACATCATACTAAAAAATTAACTCAAAATTAACTAAATGTAAGAACTAAAAATTAAAAACTCTTAGAAGAAAACAAGTGTAAATATTCATGCTTTTAGACTAGGTAATAGTTTCTTGGTATGACACCTAAAACACAAGCAACCAAAGACAAGAGAATAACTTTTGACTACATAAAAGTGAAAAGACAACCCACAGAATGAGAGAAAATATTTATGAATTATATATCTGATAGGAGTCTAGTATCCAGAATACATTAAGTACTCTTTCAATTCAACAATAAGACAAATAATCAATTTTAAAAATTGAGCAAATGACTGAATAGACATTTCTCCAAAAAGATAAACAATTGGCCATAAATTCATGAAAAGGTACTCAACAACATTACCACAATGAGCCACTATTTCAAAAAGACAGACAGTAAGCAAGAGTTCACAAGCATGCGAAGAAATTGGAACTCTCATATATTGCTGTTGGGAAAGAAAAACAGTGCAGTCACCTTGGGAAACAGTTTGGGAGTCCTTCAAGAATTTAAACATAGAATTACCATAGGACAATTGTAACTGTGACTTTGGTCAAGATACTTAAATTTCTTTGCACCTCAGTTTTCTATTCTGAGGAAAGGAGAATGTTAATAGCATCTATCCTAGAGGGCTATTATGGGAACCAAAGAATTTAGAATAGGGTTTGACATGTGATAAGCATTTACTAAATATGTTATAGTTAATATTTCATGTTATAAGAACTTAAAAGTTAAATTTCTACCTTTAAAATAATACTTTTATAATAATTTAATAATACTTTAGGAAATAAACAAGGTAGTTAAAAAAGAAATTGATATATTTACTCAATGGAATAGTATACAGTCATAAAAGGAAGTACACTTATATGCTTGACATGGAGGAATCTTGACAACATTATGCTAAGTGAAAAAGGTCAGACACAAAGGTCATATATTGTATGATTCCATTTATATAAAATATCCAGAAGAGACAAATCTGGATGAAAGAAAGAAGACTGACGCTTATCAGGATAAGTAAGGCACTTATCAGGAGAAGTAAGGAGTTTCTCTTTAGTGTGATTAAAAATATTCTGGAGTTATGGGTGATAGATTGCAGATGCAAAACAGTGAATATACCAAAAACTGCTGAAATACACACTTTAAAATGGTCTATTTTAAATGAGTTATATCTCAATTTTAAAAAAGAAATTGAGTTTATCTTTAAGAAGAAGTCTGTATTATCACTCATGGAATTCCATTTTCCCAAAGATTACTAACATCAAACAGGTATTTGTAAAATGTGTGCTTGTCTTGTTAATAAGGAATGAGAGTTGTAGAAAATGTGGGTTATTTCTGAGACACATACATGCTTACAGTAGATAACCCAAAGCTGACTTGGAAATCTAAAGAAAAATAAATGATGAAAGCTGTACTTTTTAATGTGACTTCTACACTTTAAAATTCTGTCTGCCTTGTTTTTAGGGAGAAAAAGCATGTGTAATTTCACAGAGAATCTGAGTAATACTAGAGAGAACACAACTACTGGAATATTGGCCAAATAGGTTCTATCAGATTAAACAAACAAACCAAAAAAAGTCAAAGACTGATTCCTTCAATACACTCAAGAATAAGAAAAATATACTAAGGACATGGTATCTCACAGACTTACCGTGAACTCCTGGAATTCAAACAATTACAGAAACTAGGAAGAGTACTACAAGTTTACAGAATCAGAGCCTGTGGATGGACACATTTGCCATCCTGCACTGTAAATAAAAAATCTGTAAATCAAAAATCTTCTCAATTACCCCCAGAGGGAAGAATCAAGATGTGGTCCACTGTCTCATCTGTTTGTTCCAACATTATCAGGTGCTGCTTAATTCTGATTCTCTCCCACAAAGCTTATCTGTTTGCTTATTAATTTGCCTCTGCCTCGGGACCTATTTCCTAGTTAGCACTCCCTTCACTTCAGGCTTCATCCAGTGAAAGACAGTATGCACATCCTTCATTAAAAACATTAAAATACACATCTTATCACATTTAAGACATTATGATAAAACAAAATCCTAGAGGAAATTCAGAATTGCCCTTGAAAAGTAAGTATATAAGAAGAAATTTCACTCAATAGAAATGTATGTCTAAATTATAAGCCAAAGACAACTAGGTACATTCACAGAAAAAATTCAGGAAGCGTACTAGCAAAAAGCCTACTGCCTCCCTGTCAGCTGGTAGAGAATCCATCTGCAATGCGGGAAACGGGTTCAATCCCTGGGTTGGGAAGATCCCCTGGAGATGGGAGAGGCTACCCACTCCAGTATTCTGGCCTGGAGAATTCCACGGACTGTATAGTCCATGGGGTCGCAAAGAGTCAGCCACGACTGAGCGACTTTCACTTTTACATGTTGAATTTATCTAACTGAAGAAATACATTATAAACAATTACTACTTCTATATAAGTAAAGGATTATAACAGGATTAGTAAAAGGAAAACATTAAAAAGAAACAGAACACAATGAAGGAGAATAAATATTATACTTTGTAAACCTACCGAAAATCAATATCCAATAAAAGACTTCTAATGTTAGACTTCTTGTCACCTGATTCTTTCAATCTGATCAGCTCATGTAACCTAAAGCAATTAGTGAAAGCAAATTTAGTAAGAAACAACTAATGTCACATGTAACAAGCAAGCAAACAAAAAACCCATCAATGGTCTCCTGATAGTTCTAACATTTCAATGAAACACTGAAGAAAATTTGGTAGGTATAAGCAAAGTTTCAATCTTGAAGTATTTTTAAATAGTAAAACAGAAAACTCTAGAATTAATAATAAATAACTGAGGAATCAAGCCAGAATCTCCTATCATATATCAGAAATCTATAAAGATTTCTCTTGAATGGAATAAAGATTACAAACTCCTTCAGAGAAGGACTATACTGTATACTTGGGGTTGTATGTTGTACCCTCTATACAGTAAATAACTACTCACTACATTTTCTTACAGTTTAGACAGTGGTGATGGGAGAAGCCTTTAAAACACTGTTATCACATACCTTGGGGTCCCAACACACAGTACTCTTCTGAATCCAAGGTTCGAGAGCAGGTCTACCAAGAACAGACAGCTCCGGTCAGCAAACAAATACTGGGCATTTGTCTTCTTGTTTTCTAGTGGATAAAGGAGTTTACTGGGCCTTTTTAACTGGGTGACAGAAACATCACCCACTACCTGATGTTCACGATGCTTCTCCTCATCATCCGGCAAGAGCAACTGCTGACAGCTCTGACAAAACTTTCTCTCAGACAAGGGCAACTCAATAAACTTCAAGTACCTTCAAGACACAACAAAACAGAAAGCAATACATTCTAAGTTGGTTACCTTAAAGGCATTTGATTTTTGCCAGTTTTAATATGCAAAAAGTATTACTTCTTAAAGAGTGCTATGCACGCATGCATGCATGCTAAGTCACTTCAGTTGTGTCCAACTCTTTGCAGCCCTATGGACTGTAGCCCACCAGACTCCTCTGTCCATGGGATTCTCCAGGCAAGAATACTGGAGTGGATTGCTGTGCCATCCTCCAGGGGATCTTCCCAACCCAGGGATCAAACCTGTGTCACTTATGTCTCCTGCATTAGCAGACGGGTTCTTTAAACCACTAGCATCACCAGCGAAGCCCAAAGAGTGCTGTATGAAGAAGTAAAGGTACAAAAAAACTCTATGGAATGTTGGCTAGAATTTATGTCTGGCTGCACACCTAAAAGTAGAAAAGGATCAGCGATTCCGTAAGAATTGAGATGCTCCAATTTAGACACTGGATGAAGATCAATATTCATTTAAAATGTGAATATAATATATTACTCAAACAACTTAGTAGTAATGGAGACTACTATCACCTTTAAATTTATTGACAAATCCATGTATTCTAACTTGGAAGTGTTAAACAGTCTGGCTCAGTAAGACAGTCATTTTAAAATGAGAAATTAAGATCATTCTTCAATTTCTTATGGCATACTTAGCAAGAAAAATTACCTCTTAAAAGAAAAAACGTTCCCACAAAGTTCCTCTATTCTTAGCAGTACTGACAGAGGCAGTTCTGAGAAGCTCACGTGCAAAACAGCAGAACATTCTGTCCTGCCCGTCTCTGGGGTTCCACGGGCTGGTGTTCAGAAGTGCCCTTCTGGGGGGCTTTTCTGCTGCTCCACAGGGTTTTGGAGCTGGAGTTACAGGGACCAGTAACCCATCAAGCCAGCACTCTGGAGGACTCAGAGGAATCCTCCATCTCTCGAGAACTCAAAGTTGAGCAGAGCAGTTTGGTTTTGATGCTGAGCCAACAATCTTCTGACAATGAGTTACTGGAACCCAGAGAATAGGAACAGTGTGCAGTGCCACAGGCATTTTATGGTGGACAACAGTCCATTTCATGAGATCAAGCCCTGAGCCTCTGGAGTGGGAGCACTGACTCCAAGACCCTAGACTACCAGAGAACTAACCCGAGGGAGTATCAAATAGTGAGAACTCACACAAAGGTAACCACTTGAATACAAGGCATTATCCAACTACCAGTAGCACCCTGTGCAGAAGGCCTCATCTAAGCAACAACAAAAAAAACCAAATATACAAACCCAATCATCAGCAGACAGGATTACCACCTCACTCAGCCTTGCCCATCAGAGGAAAAACATACAAACAAACAAAAACTCAGCACAAACCTCACCCTATTCAAAGCTTACACAAACCGCTGGATCAACCTTAGGAGGGCAGAAACCAAAAGAAAAAAAAAATTCAAACTTGAAGCCTGGGAAAAGGACACCTCAAACACAATAAGTTAAAAAGAAAAAAAAATAATGAAAAGGCAGAGAAATACCACACAAATGAAGGAACAAACTAGAAACACAGAAGTCCAAACAAATGAACAGAAAATAGGCAAACTACCTGAAAAAGAATTCAGAATAATGATAGTGAAGATGATCAAAAATCTTGAAAACAAATTGGAGAAAATTCAAGAATCAATTAACGAAGACCTAGAATAATTAAAGAATAAACATACATAGACAAACAATACAATTACTGAAATTAAAAATACTCTACAAGGAATCAATAGCAGAATATCTGAAACAGAAGAACAAATCAGTGAGCTGGAAGAGAAAATGGTGAAAATAACTTCTGAAGAGCAGAATACAGTAAAAAGAATGAAAAGAATTGAGGAGAGTGTCATGGACCTCTAGGACAATATCAAACGCACTAACATTCGAATTCAAGAGTCTTCTCCAACACCCCAGTTTAAAAGCATCAGTTCTTCAGCGCTCACCTTTCTTCACAGTCCAACTCTCACATCCATACATGACCACTGGAAAAACCATAGCCTTGACTAGACGGACCTTTGGTGGCAAAGTAATGTCTCTGCTTTTTAATATGCTATCTAGGTTGATCATAACTTTCCTTGCAAGGAGTAAGCTAATAGAGATGGCTGGATGGCATCACCGACTCGATGGACATTAGTTTGAGTAAACTTCGGGAGCTGGTGATGGACAGGGAGGCCTGGGTGCTGTGATTTATGGGGTCGCAAAGAGTCGGACATGACTGATCGACTGAACTTAACTGAACTGAACATTCAAATTATAGGGGTCCCAGAAGCAGAGAAAAAGAAAAGGTATGAGAAAATTTTAAAGAGATGATAGCTGAAAATTTCCCCAGCGTGGAAAAGGAAATAATCAAGTCCAAGAGGCACAAAGAGTCCCATACAGGATAAACCCAAGGACAAATACGCCAAAACACATACTGTTCAAACTAACGAAGACTAAACACAAACTTCAGTTCAGTTCAATCGCTCAGTCCTGTACGACTCTTTGCGACCCCATGAACTGCAACACACCAGGCCTCCCTGTCCATGACCAACTACTACAGCCTACCCAAACTCATGTCCATTGAGTCGGTGATGCCATTCAACCATCACATCCTCTGTCATTGCCTTCTCCTTCTGCCCTCAATCCTTCCCAGCATCAGGGTCTTTTCAAATGAGTCAGAACTTCGCATTAGGTGGCCAAAGGATTGGAGTTTCAGCTTCAACATAAGTCCTTCCAATGAACACCCAGGACTGATCTCCTTTAGGATGGACTGGTTGGATCTCCTTGCAGTCCAAGGGACTCTTAAGAGTCTTCTCCAAAACCACAGTTCAAAAGCATCAATTCTCTGGAGTTCAGCTTTCTTCATAGTCCAACACTCACATCCATACATGACTACTGGAAAAACCACAGTCTGGACTAGATAGACCTTTGTTGACAAAGTAATGTCTCTGCTTTTTACTATGCTGTTTAGGTTGGTCATAACTTTCCTTCAAAGGAGTAAGCGTCTTTTAATCTCATGGCTGCAATCACCATCTGCAGTGATTTTGGAGCCCCCCCAAAATAAAGTCAGCCACTGTTTCCCCATCTATTTGCCATGAAGTGATGGGACCGGATCCTATGATCTTAGTTTTCTGAACGTTGAGCTTTAAGCCAACTTTTTCACTCTCCTCTTTCACTTTCATTAAGAGGCTCTTTAGTTCTTCTTTACTTTCTGACGTAAGGGTGGTGTTATATGAGGTTATTGATATTTCTCCCAGCAATCCTGATTCCAGCTTGTGCTTCATCCAGCCCAGCATTTCTCATGATGTATTCTGCATATAAGTAAAGCAAGCAGGGTGACAATATACAGCCTTGACGTACTCCTTTCTTCATTTGGAACCAGTCTGTTGTTCCATGTCCAGTTCTAACTGTTGCTTCCTGACCTGCATATAGGTTTCTCAAGAGGCAGGTCAGGTGGTCTGGTATTCCCATCTCTTTCAGAATTTTCCACAGTTTATTGTGATCCACACAGCCAAAGGCTTTGGCATAGTCAATAAAGCAGAAATAGATGGTTTTCTGGAACTCTCTTGCTTTTTTGATGATCCAGCAGATGTTGGCAATTTGATCTCTGGTCCTCTGCCCTTTCTAAAACCAGCTTGAACACCTGGAAGTTCACTGTTCACGTACTGCTGAAGCCTGGCTTAGAGAATTTTGAGGATTACTTTGCTAGCATGTGAGATGAGTGTAACTCTATGGTAGTTTGAGCATTCTTTGGCATTGCCTTTCTTTGAGATTGGAATGAAAACTGACCTTTTCCAGTCCTGTAGCCACTGCTGAGTTTTCCAAATTTGCTGACATATTGAGTGCAGCACTTTCTTTTAGGATTTGAAATAGCTCAACTGGGATTCCATCTCCTCCACTAGCTTTGTTCATAGTGATGCTTCCTAAGGCCCACTTGACTTCATATTCCAGGATGTCTGGCTCTAGGTGAGTGATCACACCATTGCGATTAACTGGGTCCTGAAGATCTTTTTTGTACAGTTCTTCTGTGTATTCCTGCCACTTCTTCTTAATATCTTCTACTTCTGTTAGGTCAATACCATTTTTGTCCTTTACTGAGCCCATCTTTGCATGAAATGTTCCCTTGGTATGTCAAATTTTCTTGAAGAGATCTCTAGGCTTTCCCATTCTCCTGTTTCCCTCTGTTTCTTTGCACCAATCACTGAGGAAGGCTTTCTTATCTCTCCTTGCTATTCTTTGGAACTCTGCATTCAAATGTGTATATCTTTCCTTTTCTCCTTTGCTTGTGGCTGCTCTTCTTTTCACAGCTATTTGTAAGGCCTCCTCAGACAGCCATTTTGCTTTTTTGCATTTCTTTTTCTTGGGGATGGTCTTGATCCATTGTCTCCTGTACAATGTCATGAACCTCTGTCCATAGTTCAAAGAAAGAATATTAAAAGCAGCAAGGGAGAAGCAACAAGTAACATATGAGGGAAACCCCATAAGCTTAAGAGCTGATATTTCAGCAAAAACTCTGCAGGCCGGAAGGGAATGGCAGGATATATTTAAAGTACTGAAAGGGAAAAATCTACAACCAAGATTACTGTACCCAGCAAGGATTTCATTCGAAATTGATGGAGAAATAAAAAGCTTTTCAGACAAGCAAAAGTTTAGAATTCAGTACCACCAAACCAGCTTTACAACAAATGTTAAGGGGACTTACATAGTCAGGAAATACAAGAGAAGAAAAAAGATCTATAAAATCAACCCCAAACGATTAAGAAAATGGCAAGAGGAACATACATATCAATAATTGCTTTAAATGTAAATGGATTAAATGCTCCAACCAAAAGACACAGACCAGCTGAATGGATACAAAACAAGACCCACCTATATGCTATCTACAAGAAATCCACTTCAGACCTAAAGACATACAGACTGAAAGTGAGAGGATGGAAAAATATATTCCACGCAAATGAGAAGCAAAAGAAAGCTGGAGTAGCAATTC